GGGGACAACTTAAGTAAAAAGCTGCTCAGCTTTTCATTGAATTAAATTTATTGGAAAAGCATAGGAAATATGTGTAAGAAACATTATTTATTTCTAGTGTATGGGCTATATGCACGCATAAGTTCCGCATTTGACGCAAGGATGCTCGTCCATTTCCGGTTGTGGAGATTAAAGCGGAGGAGAACCGAGGAAAACGGGATTAAGGCAGAGTCTTCAAAATTTACTGTCCTATCGTCTTTGAAACGAAACGTACGTTTAGATGCAATTTTATATATAGTTATGTTTATTTAATATAATTTTAAAAAGAAGCATAAACACAACGAGGGGTATCTGTTTTATCTGTTTTTGTGAGTAACTTTTCTTTATTATAACCATGGAGTATAAAATTCAATATAAATTCTCGGTATTGCATTGGACTCTACGATCGGCAGAAGTTATCGAGCATCCTTAATCCTTCACCGGAAATACCGCCGTGCATAGAGCCCATTGGTCAAACAGTGAGGGGGGCAATTGAGCAATCAACTATGTATAGCTATCAATCCACCTATAGACAAGTAAATTAGCTTTATTTTGCTTCAATATAAGGTAGTTTTCTCTTTGTTCCATTTGTAACACATCACCCACACCTTAATCTTTAATTGCAGTGTTATCGCTCCATTTTCGAAGCAAACCTTAGTTCAGAGAAGCAACACGCACTGGCTTTATGCGGATTACACCTGTGGAGGCGCGTCTAATTAGATTTGTCTACCGTGGCTGATAAAAGTGAGAAAGAGATGGTACTGTTTTGCTGATGGCTCTTACTGAGAGTGATATGTCTTCAGTATGGCGTTTTGCAGAGGGTTATGGGTAGAATCACGACGTGTAATGCTGTTATTAGGCTGTGATCTGGATGACTGATAACAGAAGCCCACAGCAGCAAGTGGCCTGCATTCCTCAATGATTCTCTTAATCTTATGCCATAATGGCTATTAAAAAATTCCAATTTAGGCAGCTTGAGTGCCAGGCGGGCTACAGTAAGAATGGCTTTAATTGCGATGAGTTACTGCACTCGCTGTTGTAATCGGGCTCGAATCTTGAAAGGAGGGTTAGCGCGTCTGACAAATTGATTTAATACCAATGTGATTCTTTCTCCCTAATGATCTCCTGATTCCTCTTCTCCCAGGGTGTAGACAATCTGATTTCTAACCACTTTTTAATTGCAACCCCTTCCTTATTATGTGTGCAATGTGCATGCTTTTTCAGTTAAAAACGTGCGCAATGTACTGAGGCTCTGGCTCATTCCACAGTCCCAGTTTAGCTTCAGCATGATACCGCTGCGGTAGGGAACGGGTGATTTATGGACAATTACAGTGTTTTTTTGTGGAGTCAACAGTGTGTGTGTGGAAGAAAGGAGGAAATGAAGGAAGAGGCCGGTTGGTTTCTTAAATGCCTGACTGTAGATGTCTGTCAGTGCTGTTATTTACTACCTCTGCATCCTTTGGGATTCTCTATACAGTATGTAGCCCATCCAGATTTCTCACAGCAGTACACAATCCACATCTTGCAAAATAAAGGCATAATTTGATCCTTTCTCAAACACAGACCTCTGAAATAAAGTGATTTGGTTTGTTGTTTGCTGTTTTGCGCACACATTTAAGCAATTTTTTCCAATGTTGCTCTTCTGTCTCATCTCTGATTAAACAAATGCACAGTAGGAATTTTGGCATCAGCATATTATGTACGGTGTTAAAAATGGATATTCGTTTTGAGATTCGCTGAATATTGCATTTATACTCTAAATGGTTTGTGAAAGATTAACTTTAGTCTTTAACTTGAATGTAAATAAGAGCAATGAGCATGAACAATTAATTATTGCCTCAAACTAAATTAGTTCTATGGCATCACTGTTAAAAAAAAAAAAAACACCTTTTGGAATCTTTATTTTAAAGAAGGTAAGGACACTGCTGGATAGTTGTGTGTGTCCTTACCTTCTTTAAAATAAAGATTCCAAAAGGTGTTTTTTTTTTTTCAACAGTGATGCCATAGAACTAATTTTGTTTCCCCAAAGAACCTTTTAGCGAACAGTTCTTAAAAAAAAAAAAAAAAAAAAAAAAATCTTGGTGTGACGAACCTTTTAACATTCATGAAACCTTTCCATTCCACAAAAGTTTTTTAAAAATGAAAAAAGAACAATGAACTGGGAACAATTTTAGGGCGTTTTCACACCTGAAAGTCCGTGGTCCTATAACCAAAGTTCACGTTTTGATACGTTTTATAGTTTCAGAAAGTTTTGTTTTGGTCTCACACTGCAATTATTCGATCGCACTAAAGAACTTTACGCGACATACTTGCCTCCTGTTGTCATCATCTATGTGGGCTGCATCTTGACATTGATGGGTTTAGTAAATGGAGGTGCATCTGACGTCTGTGTGTTGTCAATTCGGCGGGTAACTTTGACAACAGATGCATATCGTTGCAACTATATTGTTATTTTTATGGCATAATTACCCGCAGCACCAACTATACACAAGGCTAGTTCAAATTCGCCAAATGAACGTCCTCATCGTGCGAACATTTTATCGTCGCCGGCAGGAAAGGAGATGAAGACTGCAAGTTGACTTCTTATGTCATCACACCATACTTCAATTAAAACCCTCGTCTCCTTGTCTCCTCATTGCTACCACGGCTCATTTTTCCTGCCACCTTCTGTTTTTTCGGCTTTTTGGGAACCACCAGAAATTCATGTAAAAGGTCTGAGAGTCCGAACCATACAGAAATGCTTTCACACTAGAAACAAACCAAACCTTTTTTCAGTTTGATCCGGACCGAGACTACCTCTTTTCGTCGGACCAAATTTCATCTCTTTGGTCCAGACTGGGAGGTTTCACTCCTGTAATTTTGATTAGGACCAAACTTAAAAGTCCGAAAGTCCTGACCAAACAAGGTAGGTGTGAACGGGCCCTTAGTTATTGGAGCGCCTTTTGGGGGACCTAAATTAGCTCCTACTTCAGAGTAGGGTCTAACCCAGCACAATAGGAATGAGCAGTCATTGGCTGAACGCATTCCATATGAAACTCTGGCACCCGCCACTTTTAAAAACTAGTGCACAGTTTACATTTACTTACTCCACAAACTAACATCACAAACATGGAAAACTGTGATGGATGGACAGACGCCGAAGTCCAGGCACTTCTCAACCAATTATGGCTTCTTCCATCCTCCTGTTGTTGAATGCTGCGCTGATATTACGCTGCTGTCGGCTGGCTTACGACACTTCAGAGTTTCTACTGCGAGTGCCTAGTCAACAAGGAAAATGCCCCAAGGGAAAATTGTGTTCTCTGGGGAACAACACTGGTGGCTACTTCCTGTAACTGAGTTCCTATACTCCTATACTGAGAGCCCGTACATGCTCTTCATGAAACCATAGGTAGCAATAAAGAACCTTTATTTTTAAAGGCCCATTCACACCAAGGATAATATCTATACCAATAATGAAAAAGATATAATTGTAAACATTGTAAATTTAAAACAATATCAGAGTCCACACCAGAACTTAAACAATAATGCCAAAGATATCATTGGAATCACTTTCAGAAAGACTTTTTCCTGCCGAGTCCGACAATGAATGATGAAAACATTGAAAGCAAATCAGAATCCATCCTAGGACTCAAGCATTTAAAGCGGCAGAACTGTTGCGCATGCTTATGATAAACAGTAGATGCATTGGTGTGTGGATATTAGTATAGCTACTGTTATAGTGTGTAATATAGCAAATAAAATCCCACCCATTTTTTCCCATCAGTGTCATATAAATATGGGTTGCAAATGCATTTCATGTTGACTCAGCAGGGACTATGGTACATTCAGAATTGGTTTTGAACCTTCAACATTTGAATTAGATTCAGACATTCTTATCCATTCAGCTACAACATATTTGCCTCCTGTATTTGGACACAGGACTTTAAGACAGATCTTCAGAACAGAATCTCTAATCCTTCTTAGAAATATTAACTCACACCTTACACTTTAAACATAGGCATGTCAACAATGTAATGCTCTAAACCAGAGCTGGATGATAGCGTATGCCATATAACTGTCTGTGTATGTGTAAGGTCACAGAAACAGGCCTAACCAGTTTTTGAGCAATGTACGGGCCATTGAAACCAGTCTCGGCATGTTTTGTTGCAAAGAACAGGCATGTGGATTATTTCATAAAAAATAAAAAAAAGAAAATTAAAAAAATGCTTTTTCAGTTTAGAGCATTCAGTACTGGTAGGACTTGTTGCACTTACAAAAAGCTTGGTTTATCTTTATCTTAATATTTCAGCTCTTCCTGTGCCGTTTGGGAAGTGGGTTTGGTGTGTAGGCAGCGTACTGCGTCTACTCATGCATAATTTGTGACATAGTCTAAATTTTTATGAGATTAAATAAAAATAAGTGGTGCTGAAATATAGTTTTCATTAGTGGCTAGTTTGTATTAAATATTCTAACAGATGTTGCACCACCAGAGGCTACTTTCATTTATTTCTCTAACAAATATGGTAGTTTATATTAACATTTAATGTCATTTAATGTTTAATGTGTTTGTGCTTTCATGTTCTCTAAGCAAAGCAACTAACAGGAATTATTATGATACAGTGTGCTGTTTTTTCTTCAGTAGAGCAGAAGTTACACAGCAGGGTTAAAAAATTCAAACTGCTCTTTTTGATGCAACAAAAACCCAAAGTGGCAAAAAATTAAATGACGGTACTCCAAGCCTTGTGCTATATTTTAAGTCTGAAGTAAACCAAAATTATTTTTTTTATTTCTTAAACCTCTTCTCTTTTGCTTTTTTTGAGCTTTACAGCTGTAAAGCTATTTTAAAGAGGAAACTGAATTTTTCAGTTTATTATATGAATAAATGAAACTGAATTCATGATTCGTTCTGAATGTGCTATTTTGTATAATTTGCTTGACTGAGGAGCTAAATGTTCACTATTGAAGAACACACTCACAGAAGAATACTTTAATTTCTGTTTTAGAGAGGGAATGGGCAACCTGAGCAGGTCACCTTCCTGACGAATGAACAGAAGATGACACCAGCACGGAAGACGAGGATTGCCGTGGGGGTCGTCGTTTCCCTGCTGGTAGTTGCCGCGGTGGTTGGATTTCTCGTGTGGCTCTTTGTTGGTAAATCGCTTCACCAATTGTCTCTAGGGAACTTGCTCTTAACAAGAAGGTTGCACATATGAAGAGTTCAGATGCAAAAGCCTCTAAGTGCCATTTGAAATTTTCTTCTAGAATGATAATTTTTATCAAGCTTGTATATTTAAGTTTAGTGATTTCACTTAAATGGCAATGATAATTACCTATTAATTGTTATTTAAGTGAAATTACTGAACTTAAATATACATGTTTGATAAAAATCATCATTAAAGAAGAAAATTTCAATTGGCATTTAGAGGCTTTTGCATCTGAACTCTTCATATATACTACCATTTTGGGTCTCTTACGCTCAACCTTTATCAAAAACTTCATCATAAACTGATAAATCTGATGTATCCATTTTTACAGTTAAAAAAAGAACTGCATTAATTTGAAAATCATTTGTAGCATTGTTCATTTCTTCCCCCCCAAAAATAAAAAAAATGTACTAACCCCAAACAGTTAAATGGTAGTGTACAATTCCTACTATTTTATTAAAAAAAAAAAAAAAAAAAAAAAACATCTTTCCATCTCTCAGTTAGGAGCAAAGAATTGGAAGAGTCCACCACTCAGAAATCCACCTCATCCACACTAGTTTACAGCGGACACATGAAGCTTCTCAAACTGGAGTACAGCCCAGCATATGACAACCCTGAAAGTACGGAGTTCCAACAAATGGCAAAAGACCTGGAAGGAATTGTGAGTTTGTGTTGTTCTCAGACTTTTCTCCTTTGACAGTGTTTATGAGTCTTGTGGAAACTTTGACTGAGATTCTTTATTCTAAATTGAGGAATAATTCAATTTGTTTTTCTGTCCTCCTCATAATGATTACTAGAGGTTCACCATTACTATCTGTATTTTGATATAAAAAATAAACTTTCAGTCATTGAAGTCTTTACAATGCTAATATGCAATGAAGCCTCATCTGAAGTGGCATATTTGCAGAAAAAAAAAATGGCACACATTGTTGGGATGGAATATATCACAAGAAATTGATTTGGCTAAATATGGGGAAATGACTATGTATTTATACTTATGGCAGTGAGTGGCAACCTGGTATATTCATTTTTAAAGACTCATGACCGTTACTGACTATGTCCATTAATTTCTCTAGACTCAATAGGAAGGGTTGTATACTGTGTTTCTAGCAAGCCATTACTATTTAGTTGACATGTATCTGTAGCTGTCAGGTTGATGGACTATTCTATCAAATTTGTGTATTTCTTCCCTATCATGCTGAAAAGCACAAGGCGGCACTCCTGAGCTATGCCTGCCTCAAACAAAGAACTTCCCATTGCCCTGCAGAGCCAATAAACAAAGCTTGACTCATTAGATTCGCATTACTGGCTGAATGCCACAAGACAGATCAGTGTCATATATTTTATTGTGAAAGCAAAACTTTACAAGGCCTGTTTTATGAACTTTATAACTTTGAACTTAATAATTTATTTAGACATTTGTACAAAGGTATACATACTTCTGCCAAATCAATGAATACATACTGCCAAATATATTAATATAGATTAATCAGATCTAACATATTTTTTTTTTGTGTGTGCACTGCAAATACAGTGTGTGTGTGTGTGTACATATATATATATATATATATATATATATATATATATATAATAGAATCTACTGTTTCTTTTTCAGATGAACGATACATTCACCAGAGATCCTTTACTTTCCAAATACTACACCAAGTCTGTCATCACTGCCTTCAGGTACAGCTGAGCCGACGAGCACTGATCTAGACAAAGCTAGATTTATAGCACACTCTCTAAATCTAATAGTTTTTAAATTAAAGAATAGATCATTCTTTATGTCTTGATTTTAATGCCTAGTGGTTTCGCTGATAGAGATAAATTACAAGTCTCATAGAATCTGGGTTAAAAAAAAACACCCTAATAGAATACAAATTATTAATTTCCAGTTCAACTATTACTGTTGCTCATACTCAGGGTAAGGGACCATGAAAACAGGACAAAAATCCATTACACAGTAGCATAGATAATGGGCTCTTTTTTTTATTTGGGGCCTTAAGAAAGCCCCCAGAACACCCTAGCAACAGCATAGCAACATCCTTAAAGCCATAAAAAAACCTTAGCAGCTTCATAGAAACACCCTCACAACAACACACAATAGCCTAGCTTTTAACAGTGAGTTTTTTTTATTTGTTTTTACTTTCACTCAATTACATGACAATATCATGCATCTGCAGTGAAGGAACCTTAGCGTATCATTGGTCTCAGTTTGACATTCCTGAGATGGACCAGGAGATCGTCCCAGAGCTGACAGAGCAGCGTGTGATCGAGGCTCTGCAGAAGACCATCCGACAGGAGGGCAAACGCTTCAGGACCTTCACAATCACTTCCAACGACATCACCGCTTCACGTAAGATGATTGCTAATTACAAAGAAAAAGCATATTTGCTCCACAGTCACAGTGCAGTAATTAGGGTGAATAAAGGAAGATTAAATTGACAACGGTTGTGGGAAAACTACATTATGACTGTTTTTGTTGCAAAATACCATGACTAACGTGTATATAAATGAAAAAGGGAAAAAACGAAATGGCTCCTTTAGGAGTGCTGATGCTTTTTAATAACTTTCTATATAACAGTAAGGCTTCCAATGTGCGGCTCAATGCAACAGAGTAATTATCTGTTTCTACTAAAAAAAAATCTGTTACACTTTGTCCTTCTGCAGTCCCCATTTGCATTATATACACGTGAGCAGCAGGCCTGAGTGACACCTCAGTGCCCTGCTTAAAATGATATCTCTGTCCGGAGACTCATGTCGCTGTAGTGAGGTGAGAGATGGGTATTTGTGAACGTCGCAGTCAAGGTGAGGGGTGGGGAGGAAGAACAGAACAGTCTGTCTGACAGGCCTGTGGAAAATGAAAGGAAAGAGGACTGAAAAAAGGACAGCATGCATCATGTTCTCTCTCTCTCTCTTTCTGTCTCTGCAGCCACAGACCCTCGGATGGCCAGAGACCCCAGATCCAGTGAGTAAAGTGTGTCCCATTTCAGTCACCGCTGCACTGTAATTTTCCACCTGAGTTGCAGTGCTCTCTCCTGTCACTCACTGAAAAATGCCTGCCCGCCTCCATCTCACGCTCACTCTGTCTCTCGCTCGCTTTCCCTTCCACTTACCTTACTGTGCACAACACACAAGGTCTCAACTTGTTTTTCAACCACAGAAAGCAAATGTACAGCTCTTCAACAGCACTTGTCAAATGTCTAAACTATCTGCATTAAAGTGCAAGTGCATTTGATTTTTTTTTTTTTTATGGCTTTACTAATGAAAGCAAAACAGACTAGTTTTACTTTAATTAAAGGCTGGCCCACACTGAAAGATCTTTAAAATCGAATCAGATTTGTCGAAATTTGAGAGAAAAATAATCATAGATTGAACAGTTTTGTACGGAGGTGTATTGCATTCACTTCAAGAATAAAAAAATCTGCTCTGTTTTTCTGAATTAACGAGTTAATTTTTCATGCGAAAAAAAATATTTTGCTCTGTTTTTCTGAATTAACGAGTTAATTTTTCATGCGAAAAAAAATATTTTGCTCTGTTTTTCTGAATTAACGAGTTAATTTTTCATGGATTTTTTTTTTTTTTGCTCTGTTTTTCTGAATTAACGAGTTAAAGGTATAGCGGAGGATTTTCTCTTTCCGGGTGGGTAGTCTATACTATTGGTCGATCTAAGTGTCAATCATTCTGGTGATATGTTTACGTAAGGCCGTCGTACGTGCTCGTCCCTATGTAGTTTTCACTTTCAGCTGTATTATGTCGGAGTTGCGGTTTCAGCCATTCCTTTGAAAATGGCTGAGGGTCGAAAGAGAAAAAAAAATGTATACGAAGTGTATGATAAGAAGAGAAAGGCCGCAGAATATAGAAACAAGACCAGAGTGATTTTGGGTGAATATCACACGCTGGCGTGCGCTACACAGGTAAAGTTTCTACTACACAGGTAAAGTTTGTCACGCTATTTGGAGAAATCCATTTAAAATCACTAGTAAAAGTTAATGCAAGCTACTTAGCAATGCTAGCCCTGGCACAAGTCATGCACCGCATAGACACGGTAAACATCTCAATTTGTCTAAAGTAGCCTTTTGACCAAAATGGTAAATGGTATCACGCTGAAATATTCTAAAACCTTGTGTGTTCATGTGTTCATATTCTAAAACCTTGTGTGTTTATTATTACACAAATGCAACAAGCTACTTCTCCATACGCAACTATGTATAAAAATAACGTATTAATACGTATTAACAATGAGACATATTAGGTTAAGGACCAACGTAATAGCACTGCTTATGTTGCTATGTAACGTAATTGCGATTTGCAAAATAGTTTCCTCAGATCGTATTTTGTGTAATACAGGGTTGGACATATCATGTCTTGAGTCCTCGGTCACTCAATTGATCAGTATAATAAGTAAATAAAACACGGAAGGGCATTTGACATGTTGTCTTTTTTATGAATATTTTTTAGTTAGTTTACAATTTGCAACATAATTGTGCAAGGCGTAATAGTAGGCGTTCCCTCTCGGGAGTGTTGTGTTTGTGCATGTGCATTTTTTTATTTTTTTTTTTAAATTGGAGAGGGCGGGTCTTCTCTAAAATTCGGAAAGATCCTCCGCTATACCTTTAATTTTCCATGGAAATTTTTTTTTAGCAAATACTTTTTTTCTCACGAAAAATTAACTTATTAATTCAGAAAAACAGAGCAAATTTTTTTTTTCTCATGAAAAATTAACTCATTAATTCAGAAAAACAGAGCAAAAACTTTTTTTCTCATGAAAAATTAACATTAATTCAGAAAAACAGAGCAAAAAAAATTCTCATGAAAAATTAACTCGTAAATTCAGAAAAACAGAGCAAAAAATTGTTTTCTCATGAAAAATTAACTCATTAATTCAGAAAAACAGAGCAATTTTTTTTTCTCATGAAAAATTAACTCGTTAATTCAGAAAAACAGAGTAGATTTTTTTTCTTCAAGTGAATGCAATACGCCTCTGTAGTTTTGTTTGTTGTTTGGAGTCCCACAATGTGACCAAGACAACACAACGCACACTAACATATTCCAATCACAAACAACCTGAGTCCCCGACTGTGAGAATGGGAAATCTCGCAAAATTTCTTGCGGTTAAACGACTTTTAGAGTTAAACAAACATGGCGGATGACAGGCAAGAAGATTTCTGATCTTCCTTCAGCTTGCTTTCTGATTGGGTACTATCGTTTTATTCGACGTGACAATCTACATTGCGCGTGCGTGTTCTTGCTCGGAGTTCCCACCACACGACAGGATTTCTGATCGTAAATATTCAACATGATGACAATAATTAATTAACTGCAACGCAGTGATTTCAGAACATTCCATTTTTAATACTGTGGTTATTGTGCCGTTTTGGGGTGTTCGGTTAGAGTTGGGACATTACACAGTGATTGATCAAATATGCTTCCATTTCAGTTTTGCAAAGGCCACTTTCTATTGATCAATTCCAGGCTGACAACATCAAGTCCCGCACACTGATCATAAACCAGACCCGAATCCAAATAGCTCTTACCAAAAATGGGGGACAAAAAAGATAATTGATGAAGATGGCAAAGAGTCAGTCACGACAACGGAGAGAAAAATGCACAAATATTTATCCCTTGAAATTATGTATAAAAATAGCATGATTAAAAGGTTGCATGTTTACTTCATTATGATTGGTTGATTTAATGTCTGCTGAGCAGATTCCCCTCTGTTACTAAGCAGATGTCCATTGTTAATGCTACCATAGTCCTCAAGTTAGTTTTAGCATGTGTGTGTTCCAGATTTCTCCATCATCAGCAAGAGGCTGTTATTATGCACTCTTGACCTTCCCATCAATATACTAGAACTTTCATATTTTCAACATAAGCAAGTATATGACTTTAAATAACAAGAATGCCAATTCCATTTCCATAAACACATTGCTTTGTGGGATCTGCATCTGTTGTATACTGCTCATTTAGGCAAATACAAGTACACAAGCACAGTATCTGTCGAGCACATGGTTTGAATGTACATACCAGCATGCAGCAAAGATCATATCTTTCTACTTTGCCTGTTTTTGTTGTCAGAAAACTGCTTTTACAGTCTTGTTGCTGAAACCACCAGCAAAGAATTTGTGTCTCCCGATCACCCTAAGAAATATCCAGCTCACTCCCGATGTCAGTGGCAGATTCGCGCCCCTAAAGGCCACGCCATCATTGTCAAATTCAAGACCTTCCACATCGAGGATGACTGTGCCAATGACTATGTGGCCATCTACGACTCTCTTAGTCCTGACAGCACTCGTGCCATCACAAAGTGAGTATATGCAGCTTTCAAACCTCAGATTTAACTTCTTGTCATATGTATCAGTGTTGCTTCTAGGAATATGCTAGAACTTAGATACCAGTTATCCTCTATTGAAAGGATCTGTGACATTCTGTTGATTTAGCAAAAAATGTATCTTTGAATAGTGTGACTATTGTTACGCTGAAAGCATTTTGACTAGACATTGAGAATTTTTTCTCACTATATTGAGAATTAAATTAAAACAAAAACTCTCTTAAACTCAAATATAAAAGAAAAAAACTTAAAATTAATTTTTTAAAATTAATCTTTTCTGCTCACTAAAGCTTCATCGATTTGATCAAAAATACAGAAAAAGCAGTAATATTTTGAAAAATAATTATTATGATTTAAAATAACCATTTTATACATTGACAAACTCAAATATAAAAGAATAAAAGTTAAAATGATAAAATAATTAAATTTTTTAGTTTTTTTTGTCTCTTCTGCTCATCAAAGCTGCATTGATTTGATCAAAAATACAGAAAAAACAGTAATATTGTGAAATATTATTATGATTTAAAATAACCATTTTATACACTCTTAAACTCAAATATAAAAGAAAAAAAGTTAAAATGATAAAAAATAAATAAATTTGTTTAGTTTTTTTGTCTCTTCTGCTCACCAAAGCTGCATCGATTTGATCAAAAGTACAGAAAAAGCAGTAATATTGTGAAAAATAATTATTATGATTTAAAATAACCATTTTATTCATTGACAAGCTCAAATATAAAAAAAAGTTAAAATGATAAAAAAATTAAATTTGCTTAGTTTTTTTTGTCTCTTCTGCTCATCAAAGCTGCATCGATTTGATCAAAAATACAGAAAAAACAGTAATATTGTGAAATATTATTATGATTTAAAATAACCATTTTATACACTCTTAAACTCAAACATAAAAGAAAAAATGTTAAAATGATAAAAAAAAAATTAAATTTGTTTAGTTTTTTTGTCTCTTCTGCCCACCAAAGCTGCATCGATTTGATCAAAAATACATAAAAAGCAGTAATATTGTGAAATATTATTATGACTTAAAATAACCATTTTATACACTCTTAAACTCAAATATAAAAGAAAAAAAAGTTAAAATGATAAAAAAAAATAATAATTGTTTAGTTTTTTTGTCTCCTCTGCTCATCAAAGCTGCATCGATTTGATCAAAAATACAAAAAAAGCATACCATAACCATTTTATAATTTTAAATGCAATTTATTTCAGTGATGGCAACGCTAATTTTCGGCATCATTACTTCAGTCTTAAGTGTCACATGATCCTTCAGCAATCATTCAATATGATGATTTGATGCTCAAGAAACATTTCTGTGCTGCAGCTGCTTTGTTTTTTTGTGGAAACCATTTTTAAAGATTCTTTGAGAATAGAATGTTCAGAAGTCTTTACTGTCACTTTCGATCCATTTAATATGTCCTTGCTGTATAAAAGTATTATAAATTTAAAAAAAAATATGAATTTAAAAAAGAATAATACTGACCACAAACTTTTAAACCGTAGTGTATAGGATATATAGAACTATCTTCCATCAAGGACGAAGCCCCCTCATCGCTGAGCAGCGGTTACTTGACTTTTTTTCAATTCAGTTTCATTTTTTTTGGTTGGCCTCAGGCTTCTAGCTGAAGATTGGCTTGTTGAGACCCCTCTGTTGCACCTCTCAGATACATGCCAGTTTTTAGTCACCTTATCACAGGCTTTAGGAAAGGAGAGCTTATTTTTCTTTTCTTTGTGTTTGTTTGTCTACACAACAAATCACCTGAAGTGTATACGTAGGTCGTAACTGTATCTTGTAGTGAGTGGGCTCTGAACATAATACTCACAGCACTGCTCAGCCTCTGCCCCGTTTCTAAGGTGACACAGAGCCATACAGCTCCTAATAATGTTGTTATGTCCCAGGTATCTCTTTCTTTCATTTATGATCTTAAAGACCCCATAAATTCAAGTTTTAGTCTACATCTTAAAGGTCGTATCTGTCATCTACAGGCCTAAAGGCTGACAAAATCCACTTGCAGCACATATTTATATTATATTGTCTTTCAATTTTGGAACAAACATATTGATAATACTCTTCACGGGTTGTACTCCACACTAGTGTGCAATAATACAATGCTCTTCTATATACCGTTGTCACAGTTCTAACACTCTTTCCATCACAGACAGTGTGGTCTTCGCCCTCCTTCAAATCCTCTTGACGTTGTTTCTTCTGGTAACATCATGCTTGTCAACCTGGTCACAGACAAGGTCCGGAAACAAGGATTCAAAGCGGTTTACTCTGCCATTCCTACTACTACTGGTAAACCGTGTAATCAATCTGTACAAATGCTGTAGCATTTTATAACGTCATCATCCAGTTTAAAGGTCCTTGTACACCGAGTCCAAAATTTTCGAATGCGTTCTTATTTGTGATTCGGTGGCTCTGAATTGTCAAAAACACCATTCAAACTACTTGGTACGGATGCGAAAAACGCAGAAAATCGAACCCGATTCATTTTTTTATTTTTATTTTTTGACGGACAAAAGTTTCGGAGGCAGTGTGCAAGCGCGATTGACACAACGTGAGGTTGTATTTATTTTTTAACATGCATAAAATTTGGACGTGAATTTTGGACTCGATGCTGACTCGAATTTTGGACTCGAATCTGATTGGCTGAGAGCCATGCACTATTTCCCCAGTATCGGCACAGTTTGTATCACTCTGCTTGCTGCGACTGTCATGGAGGTTGAGCAAATTTTTACAAGTACTACTGTTGTTTTGTCACAAAATGTATTTTTAAGAGTTTTTTTAGGCTAGAATATATTTATTTAGATCTCAAATATGTGACTAATATATAAACATAGTGACTATTTTACCATCCGTTTAGACGCTTTCGCAGACGTAGTATTTAGTATTGAAAAATGGTTCGTTAGTGATCGTGATATGGACTTGAAAGTTACATTAATGTTTTGCCATTAGATGGTAGCAAAGATACTTATGTAATGCATTTGTTTAGTCGATCTCTCTCTCTCTCTCTCATAATACCATAATTCTCTCATAATACCATAATACTCTACATAATGCAATAAGCTTCAACTCAACGTTCCTTCATTAATAGATCTAAAGTGACGTTTTAGAATTAATAACAGAGGCTTGGACTCAACTGTCAATTTGAGACCGTGCAGAAGGAAGTAGTTCTGCACAAAAGAGTGTTTTTAAAGACACTCTGTTGTTGTATCTTATTTAATTACTCAGTTGTGCCGTTGAACTGTTGTATTAACGTAATACTACACTCGTAGCTGTGCGATATGGCTGTAGATTAGCACACTGTGACAGCCTTGCTGATGTTCAGTTATATTGCACTTCTACTCATTGCTCATGTAAACACTTGCAGCATCTGACTTAAAGCAGCCTTGAAACTTGAAAAAAAATGTTGAATTGACTAGAAAGTTGGTTTCTTAACATTTTTTTCCATTCATTCCCCCTCTCCGCATATTCATTTCTAGGTGTGAGCTGTGGAGCATCTCTGACTGGTTCCACGGGAAACTTCACCTCTCCGCATTACCCTAGTTTCTTCCCTCCTTTGGTAGACTGCATTTGGAACATCAATGTAAGCTTTACAACACTGTTTCACTCTTTTTTGTTTACTAACAGATAGAGCCAGACCGATATATCGGTCGGCCGATATTATCGCCCGATATTGGGCATTTTCCATAATATCGGTATCGGCAGTTATAATGGCCGATAAATGAATATTTCAAAAATAAAATAAAAATGGACGAAACACGCTTCAATCATCTCTCCTTGGCCTGTTATATTGAAAATGGATGTTTTACAATTTGCAGTATGATGTTATCTATTGCTAAGTTATGGCTCATCATAGACTAGCTAACCACAAAGCTAGCTAATGCCACTATCATCAGTGGAAGACCGTTAACGTTAATGAGCTTGGAAACCACAATGAACCTTTTCTGCCTAAATAAAGTAATTATTACTGTATTTATAACTCGCATATCTCTAGTTACAGTCCCTGCATTGTAAAATGTAAGTTATACTTGCGAGGAGTGAACATTTAGACAGAGAAAAAGTATCAAACGTATCTTGTGCAGAAAAGTTAGCTTTTCTTTTACACGTGTGTGAAATCCAACAATATTTAAAAAAAAAAAAAAATATCGGCCGATCTATCGGAATATCGGATTTTAAAACCCAAAAATATTTGTATCGTTATCGGCCTTCAAAATCCTTTATCGGTCGGGCTCTACTAACAGATTCCCCTTTTCCACCGACACGGTTCTGGGGCGGGTTCCTGGCCTGTGTCTGTTCTCCTACTGCTCCATGCATTTCCACAGCAAAAAAGGGGGTTCCAGGCCAGTTTTGGTGCGGGCTCCCGGCCTGTTTCTGTTCTCGAACCGTTTCACGCATTTCCACTTATCAATAGGGGGTTCCAGGCCAGTTCTGGTATGGGCTTACCAGCCTGTGTCTGTTCTCAAACCGTTTTGTTCATTTCCACTGCAAAAAAAGGGGGTTCTGTAGAAATGCTGCCGTTGTCTACTGTGCGCACGAGAGTGACTCAGTGTCACCGTTCTTTACTCTTAATCGGTCTATAAATCCAGTCTTGTTTACAAAACAATCCTCAGTGAAATGAAGTGAACAGACGGACAATGTTTTACCCTCAGCTGGAACGTCATTAAAAATAAAGTTAACCACACATTCCTATTGGAATCCAGAGGATGCATATAAGCGACTGTCTTCTTCCACAACCAGGCGCTGCACAATATTCTGTATTGCTTGTAGCTCGATCCGGTTTGTCATCATGAGGTAGGCCTATGTTATTTAGCTATGTGTGTAATGCTCGAATCGGTGGGCGGGGCTAAACCGGCCGTGTTGAAGTAGGCGTTGATCTTCTGCTGGGGTGGTGGTGTTTTATCCTCTTTGACGTCATAGTTCCCCACTTTGAAAAACGAGTCGTTTGCTGAGGCTGGTGTCAATAAAAGCTTTTATTGGACTAACAAGGACGTTTTCAGTTCTGAAACTTACAGGGTATTCTTATAATATGATAACCTGAAATTTGATTTCTCAGTTCATCACCCCTGTAACTATTCCTCTTGAAGAGTTTGTTGATTCATGCCTTTTTGAAAATAACTCTGAGTACTATCGTGTGGATTTTGCAGGTTCCTGCTGGCAGATGTGTAAAGATTGAGTTCGTTATGTTCCGTGTGAAGGAGCCGGGGGTAGACACCAACAACTGTCACAAAGACTACGTAGAGGTGCTGGGAAAAAAGTAAGTTCTGTCATCTGTCCTGCCAAGACAGCTAGAAAGATTTCAGCTTCCTGACAATCTTTAAAATGGCATTAAGCTCAATTTACTGTATCTGAAAACCAGCTGGAGCATTCCGTTGTCCACTCTTTTTGTTGTTGATTTACTAGCCTTTGTTTTATTAACAGCTCTTTTCTTCCTCTTTTCTTTAAGGTATTGTGGGGAGAGGCAAAGATTTGTGCTCTCTAGCACCAGCAATACCTTGGAAGTGAAGTTCCATTCAGATGAATCCTACACTGATAAGGGATTCAGCATCATTTACACCGCATTTGACCCTGTAGACCGTACGTAAGCTCAGTCAGTGTTTCAATATAACCATTTAAATCATTAGAAATCTCCTTCACTTCTTGCGTTGAGTTGTGTGTGTCTTCCTGTTTTCTTCTCCAGCTTGCCCTGGTAGGTTTGCGTGCACCTCAGGCTTGTGTATCTCAAAACAGCAGCAGTGTGACGGGTGGAACGACTGCGCTGACATGAGCGATGAGAAACAGTGCAGTAAGTCTCACCCCTGTCAGGATGTTGTAACATTTAGTTTAAACCTTTCAATTTATTAATTAGAGCTTGAATTGGATTAGCCCTGTCCGGCTGGATATTGATTCGGAATGACCACACACAGATAATTCATCAGTCAGAATTAATGATAAATAATTGCATCAATAATTTAATTATGTTGATTGGTTCCATAATATATAGATCAGTATCTATATTGCTTACAATTACTCTGATACAACAGTATCTGTTGTTTTCTTCAACTGATTGGACAGATTCCTCCTAATTAAGTTTGGAATAAACCAATGAATAGAATTCAATTTTGCCAAACAGCACCCTTATTGTTTTCAGATAACTTAAGAACATTTACACCAACATTTTAACAATTCTATTTATTGTGTTTAATATATTAGATATTATAAATTAAATTTACAAGAAATTATTAATTAAAACATTCCGAGAAATTAGGTGGTTTTGGTTCATATAATGAACGCTATGTTTTGATCATTTTTGAAATCATTAAATGTTTCTTGAAATGATTAATTCATACTGAAATACATGCAAATTCTGTTTCTGATTTGAATTATAATTCTGCATCCTGTTTGCTACCTATCATTAGCCATTGAAATTGGGAATACTTGGAAATACTGTATGTTTATTTAAAATATCCTTTTGAGGACAGTTTACGTTGTGTGATGTTTAAATAAATGTAGCATTATTGCATGTGTTTTTACATTTTTTTAGAATGTGATGAGGAACAATTCACTTGCAGAAATGGCCTTTGTAGGCCTCAGTTCTTTGTCTGTGACAGATCGAATGACTGTGGCGACAACAGTGATGAGGAACATTGCGGTGAGTTTTCAACAAACTCCGTTCAGAATTTACATTTCAGCAGTGATGCTGATTTGGTAACCCTACTCAAAAGGAAGTCAATTTAAATGGAAGAAAATCCATTTAAGGATAAACTAAAGCATTTACACAGAGAAAGCAGTGGCCTAGTAAAGCAGGACCTTGATGAGATCACATGACCAGCTGTTTTCTGGGATTCAAATAAACACTGGCTTAAGAAGAATTTATGTTAAATTGGGATTTTCTTTGAGAACTTCAACATATGCACACCTTTAACACTTGCTTCGTTGTTGCATACTTCAAAAGACCACTTTCATTTTTACCATTGAAGGACACTTGACAAGGCTTTGTTTTGCTGTACCTCCTAGATTGTGGCATTGCTGAGGAAAGGTGCGGGGATGGCGCCTGCATCTCAAAGGATTATGTATGTGATGGGAAAAATGACTGTGCTGATGGCAGCGATGAGGTCTCCTGCTCAGGATGTGAGTGGATTTAACTTACAGATCACTTACTGCCTTTCCATAGAGCTTAACACTAGGTTGGTAATACAAATTTGTTTTGTGAGCTTATCTGCATTGTGTAATGTCTAATTATGAGAACCAGACTTGTTCACAAGCAACAAACTAACTTACTTCATCATGGTTTAGTCCCTTTAAGGTGACTTCAAATAAAATAAAATAAATTCCAATTTAAAATAAAATAAAAAAAGAATCAGCCAAACCACAGAAATGGGACAAAGTGGATACAATACAGATAAAATTGAATTAGCAATTATTGGCACACAATAATAGCTTTATATATATATATATATATACAAGACAGACATTAAGATTTTATTTATTTTGGGCAGAATTTAATGTTCTTTGTGAGACATATACAGGTCCTGAGTTATTCACAAAATTGTAAATTATTAAACATATTAAAGTGCTTTCTATTGTTTGGCTGGATGTTCGTGTGTGTGAGTACTGAGTGAGATTTGGGACCATGCTGTGTAACCTGATTTAATATGCATAGACTCTTGTGATGGCAATAGCTTCAACACTTAGGCTGAAATGGTAGTGAATCACACATGTTGGTCTTTTCCAACTTGTTCAGTCCTTATTTACCTCCCACTCTTTCTATCCCAAAGTTGCCCATTGTTTTTGCATCCTTCAGCTGAGATAAGTGACCTATCCCACAATCAATAAGCCTGATCAATAAGCTGGCTCTTGCATGGTCTTTGATGATAAAAAGAAGCTGCAATTGATGGTTTATTTCCCTCGTTCAAGTTTTACTTTATGCTCTCTTCCTCTCTTAGCGGCTGGTATCTGCAATGATTTCTCCTTCGTGTGTAAAGACAAGCAGTGTGTAAACAAAGTCAACGCAGAGTGTGATCGCGAAAACGACTGCTCAGATGGTTCGGATGAACAGGGATGCGGTAAGTCACATTGATTAATGTATTTTTTTCACTTACAAACAAAAGTAAAGGCTCTTTTAGTCTGGACAAAACATGGCCAGGAACCATTCAACACACAAAGTTATTCAATATTTATAACTTCTTTATTCATTTGCAGCGGTGATATTTAGAAGCACTGTTGTCTGAGATATTCGTTAAATACATAATTGAAATGTACTGCTCAGGTGTGTATTTCAGCTACTATTTTACAATGATTTAAAATGTGGCTCATCCAGTCATATATATATATATTTTTTTTATATATATATAATTTTATTGTATTTTATATATTTTATTATTATATTCAGGGGTGGGAGAAAATTATTATTTTTTTTTTTTTTATTCTAAAAAAGATTTTTTTTTTTTTTTAATTCCAGAATCAATATTTATTCAAATTTAGTTGCTTTATTTTTGGCTTAGCTTGTAGATGAGGTTGATAAAGTTAGCCACTTTCGTTCCAACAGAGGATGAAATGTGTCGTTATCTATAAAAATTGTTTCGCCTATAAGTGGCTACAAGTGACTGTTAAAAATTGAATTTGAATCATTTATTCTAGAGAATGTAGTATTGTATGATGCTTCTGAAATAAAAGTCAAAAAGATGTAATTTTTTTTTTTTTTTTTTTTTTTTTTTTTTTATATGACTCATCATGTAGGGTGAATTTGGGTAATCTGGAACATTTTTTTTTTTACAATTTTGACTTCTGCAATGTATTTCGTTCTAACACATTATATCAACACATTAGACTTTTCTGAAATCCCTAAGATGTTTTCTAACCACACCAGAATGTAGATATTATACCCATAGACATGCAACACCTATTAGTGTTTTTGTGTCAAAAAACTAAAATTCTGCCTGAATTTTATAATCAATTATAATGAGTGTATCGTCCCAGCCCTAATTATATATATATATATATATATGGATTGTCTATGTTGTTTTATGAATCAGTATCAGCCAAGGCACATCAGTTATACAGTCTTTTCATTTATTTTAAGATCTAGCAGCGATTTAGATTATGGAAAAACAAATAAGTACAGCAGCTTTTATTAATATTAATTTGAAATGCACATTAAAAACTATTTTATAAAACCCAGCTAATGGTTAAAATCACTTACAGTAGTTATAGATTTAGTTATGAAATGGTATAGATTTATAATATATAATGATATGTAAGAGAATACAATTACCGCCCCATGCAGCTCTAGTGTCTTTATTGTATAATCATTTGAAGATAATGAGCTTCTCAGTGTTTTCACAAGCTTTTGGTGTTTCAGCGCATTTAAAAACAATTGTCATTTCCAGAAGTTGCTGAATAATCGACAATGTGGTAATTAGTGTGGAAAGAAATTCACATTAAAGCCCAAAGCCATTATACTTATTTTATGGAATCCTACTTGACATTTCTTCATTCCTTCTACTTCTTTTATAGGCCTCAGGGTTGCTAGTTTCTTTTTCCTTTCTTCATTGTGTTTTTATCAGCCAGCACGGTTCGTTCCTCCATATATCTGCCTTGTTATGGTTCTGCTTTAGTCCCGCCGCTAAAGGCTGACGGTCCTGTGAGTCAGAGCAGATGTTTCGAGAAACTCGAACTTTCAGTGCTAACAATTTTTGCAGCCAGCCCTCTGATCTAATCGCTGCTGGTCTCGAAGAAGACCTCCTTAACCTCTCATCTCAGCATGCCAATGATATTTCTTCCGTTGTCTTTCTTGAAGTCTCTCTGTGTTTTTGAACCATTCCTACAATTTGGTTTCAGACTGTGGAGTCCGGCCATACAAGCACAACCGTATTGTGGGTGGGAAGAACGCAGATGTGGGTGAATGGCCGTGGCAGGTCAGCCTACATTTCAAGACCAATGGACACACTTGCGGCGCCTCAATCATCTCCAACAAATGGCTGCTTTGTGCTGCCCACTGCTTCATCCAGCCTTCAGACGAGTGAGTCGGTTTATTGCATCTGTTTTATTCGGTCAGTTTAATTTTGTCTGTTTGCTGTAGTTGATGTTATCAGAGAAATGAATTAGTATCTTTCTCCAAACATTTTGGTCAAAGACTGAGCTTGTATTTATTCTCATTGGCCAGCAGGTGGAGCACAAGACATGGCATACAATCATATTTTACTTTGAGTTAGTCCAACATGCTTCTAAAACTGAAACACGAAGGCTGAACCAAAAGATAATTCGCTCTCCTGAGCTATGCTTTCACCGTGAAATCAAAATTGACCCCATTTTACTTTGTTAATAAAGGTTTCTGGTCTTTTTTTGTGAATGATACATCAATGCACAAATGTCTTTCATTAAAATGTAATAACTTGTTCCACCTCTGAAATGACTTTGCTTTTCGGCTGAAATTAACAAGCTCTCTTATTTTTCAATCCCTCTTCATTTACACTACTGGTCAAACGTTTAGAATAATTAGGATTTCGTTTTTTAAAACAAGAAAAGTAAAAGTCTCTAATGCTCACCATGGCAGCGTTTATTTGATTAAAAATGCTGTAAAAACTGTAATTTTGTGAAATATTCATTAAAGAATTCCACCAAAATAGTAAGCAGCAAAACTGTTTTTACACATTGATAATGATAAGAACTATTATTAAGACAAACAACAATAATAATTGATTATAAAATTAATAAAATATAAGTGAAAAATGAGTGAGTGCCAATAAAAGTGAGCACAAAATCATCATAATTTAGAATGATTTCTGAAAGACCATGTGACACTGAAGACTGGAGTAATGATGCTGAAAATGCAGTTTTGACATTACAGGAATAAATTATAATTTAAAATATATTCATAATGTAATAATATTTCATAATATTACTGTATTTTTGATCAAATAAATGCAGCCTTGGTAACCAGAAGATAATTCTTTAAAGAACATGAAAAAAAAAAATCAAGCGGTTTTTCTCACAATACTGACAGTACTTTTTTTCTTCTCATTAAATCTGATTTCCTCAGATTTCCTGTCAAAATAGGGACTTAAAATGGATTCGACTGCCATTTCATGTTGACCTTTCAAAACATCTGATTTAAACAACTAACCTCCAAAACAACATTGTGTTCATTGTCTCTTCCAACAGCTACAAAATGACATCCAACTGGCTGACGTACAGTGGTCTGCGGGACCAGAACATCCAGGACGCCTCAGTTCAGCAGCGTACTATAAAGACCATCATCACCCACCCAAGCTACAATGAAATGACCTACGATTATGACATCTCCTTGTTGGAACTGAGCCAGCCATTGAACTTCAGCAACACCGTGCATCCCATCTGCCTTCCAGCATCGACCCACGTTTTCTCGGCCGGCAGTTCCTGCTTTGTGACGGGCTGGGGCGCGCTCCGAGAGGGAGGTGAGACAGCTTGTGTGCCTGAGGGCTGCCCTTTGCGTTTGGAGTTCTGCTTTTTCATGAGATACCTTTGGAATTGCGCCTCACAAGTTTGACATTTATCAATCCCTTGTCTCAATGTCACTTAGCACAACTTTTGTTATACGATTTGGTTATTTGTGGAATCAAATAACTAATTCCAATAAATGTTTCAAATTATGACTGTGTAAAGATGCTCTTTGGTTTTAGTATGGTTCTCATAGGACTAATGATTTATGTATGTGTTGTAGGAATTGCTGCAACAATCCTGCAGAAAGCAGAAGTTAAGGTGATTAATGATACAGTATGCAACATGGTGACCGAAGGTCAGGTGACCTCTAGAATGATGTGTAGCGGCTACCTCACTGGAGGTGTGGACGCTTGTCAGGTAAAAAAAAAAGAAAAAAAAAACATCCACAAGGTTTTTTTTTTGTTGTTGTTGTTTTTAATTTTTTAATGAAATCATACTGAATGTAATATTTTCATTTCGATCTGGGTTACAGTATATGTACTGTACCGGTCAAACGTTTACTAAATACATGGTAGCAATTTAGAAATATTAATATTTTTTATGTTTTTTTAAAGATCATCTTATGCTCATCAGGCCTGATTTTGTTTAAAAGTACAGGGGGAAAAATACATTTTGAAATATTAAAATTTAAAATAAGTTTTCTATTTGAATATATCTTTCAAATATAATTTATTTCTCTGAGCAAAGCTGAATTTTCAGCAGTCTTCAGTGCCCGGCATTCTCCTTTTATACCCATGAGGTGGGGCGGAGTGCAAATTACTCAGACCCATGGCATTTCTTTGCCATTGGCTCATTTTGTATACTCAAAGTCGATAGGCTTTCTAAGCGATACCCCAGTCGTCGTCATCCGACAGAGCTCACTTATTCAAAATAGAAATCTTTTCTAACAATGATAGTGATAAGATTATAAAATGTATTATTATTATTATTGCTGAATAAAAGTATTCTTTTCTTTACAAACTTTTGAAAAGTAGTGTATATTGTTGCAAAATATTTCTATTTAAAATAAATGCTGTTCTTTTTAAAAACTTTTTTATTCATCAAAGAATCCTGAAAAAAAGTATCACATGTTATATAAAAAAATAAGGAGTAACTGTTTCCAACATTGATGAAATTGTTCACCCTCAATTGTTTGGAATACCGTTGAAATGGCTAATTCAACTGTGAAAATGTGTCAATGTTGACCGCAACTTGAGGGCTATTATCCCAATATATTTTTTTTTTCCAAAATAACATTTACAGAGTTACAATAATAACACCCTCAATGCAGCTAAAAAGCTTTCTAACTAAAACTTGTGCAAAGATTACGCATTTATTGAATGGTAATGAATTCAAGGTGGTTTAATAGCCATTTAGATGCATTGTCAAGCCTTTTTCATCCTGTTCTATTCATTCAGAAACACCTACAGTACAAATATGACATGAGCATAATGCCATCAAAGTGTTCAGCTAATGTTGTTGTCTTCCTGCAGTGTGTGTACACCCTCGTAGTGGAGAAGATTAATTATTCTACCTTGTTCCCTGATATTTAAATGAGCTGATTTCCATAATTTCTACTTCTATCTCACTTGTTATTCATCTTACTTTCCCCTTCTGAACGCTCTGTGCATCTCTCTTATTTTGGGTGTAATCTTCTTAGTGTTTTTTTTTTTTTTCTCGCACAGGTTCCGGTCCTGGTCTTGTGACTCCTTTCTGTCTTTCTCTCTCTCTCTCACACACACACACACACACACATTATCTCTCTCTCTCTCTCTCTCTCACTCTCTCTCACCTCCCAATTCAAATATGCTTTATTGCCACGTCGGTTTACATTGCAATATTGGCAAAGTAATTAAGAGCCGAATTGTATTACACACAAAACAAATCATTCAGGAATAATAGTAATGAAATGACACCGTAAATAAGCAGCTTAAATTAGAGGTACAAAATAATAAATGATAAGTGATTACAATAATAATTAAAATGTTTGCAATTGCTTCACACACCCTCCTTTTTTCTTTTCTTTCTATTTTCTCACATACATAATCAACGTTTCATCTCCTCTTTTGTAATTTCAAGCTATTTATTTGCATGATTGTTTTATATACAATATTACCAAAGCATTATACACAATAAAAAGGTCTCCAGTAATACTAAAAATAATTAACCACAATAAATATACAATAAATTAAAATATTGTAAACATTCATTAATGAGCATTCTCTTGAACAGATCAACAGGCAACTTGAATATGCTGATCAAATATGTTTTGTTACATTAGTCCTCCATGCATTTTGGTCTTTTTCGAACAGTTTTGGAAAACGTGGAATGATATTTTAAAGAGTTTTTCTTTTGGCTTCCGTAGGGAGACTCGGGCGGGCCTCTTGTGTGTCGATCCGATGTTGGCAAATGGTTCCAGGCTGGCATAGTGAGCTGGGGAGAAGGCTGCGCTCGGCGGAACAAGCCTGGCGTCTACACGCGTGTCACCAAACTACGGGACTGGATCCGTGAAATCACATCCGTATAGTGGAGCCTGGACCTGCGATCATATGACAACCAAAGAAGAACAGAAATGTTCAGCTCTGTGAATATTTAGTACAGTATGTGAGCCGCACACGCACAATACAGCTTCGGTTGTCATCATTTGTGAGAAAATTGAACTTGCATTCGTTTCAGACCACCTTGTTGGCTTATCAGTGTGGTTTTTCATAGCTGTATCAATCTAAAGTTGAGTTCATCTTTAGTCAACCAAATCAAATACGTGGAGATACAACTATAATGAGGGGATATACATATATATCACTGTGATGCACTGTTACACATTTTTTTGCCAACTTTCATTTGTTCAAATCTGATTTCTTCAACAGTAACTTCATAAATGGCACTTAGAGATCAAACTGTCCTATAATGAGATTGCCAGCAACATCTGACCCAATGGAATTCATGTTGTTCTCTTTCTGAATTATGTTCTGTTTTTATACAAATCTTTTAACTTTTTCTTATACTCAAAACGTGCCTTTATTCCAAAGACTGGACTTTGCCTCTTCTCAGAAACAATGACTCTTGTGTTTCAGACTTTGGAGCGAGCTTCAGTCCCTACATTTTTTTCTTTCTCTTTTAGAGAAGGTCAAAAGCTTCTTTGCAATCTAGAAATTTCTGTAAGCATCCCACTCTGGCTGACCTTCTTTCCTCACATCTGTGTGATCTCGGGACCTTGGAGGCAAAGCTCTAAATGGGAGGATTAGGTAAAAATAGGATATTTCCATCATCCATTTGCCAATACAACCAAGGCCAACATAGGTCACTCACTTCTGCTGCATGTTAGAGTTCCAGCCAATCAATGTCAAAGAAGTTGGCTGAAACAACCTAGCAGGATGGTCTTTGCTTCAAAGAGTCCTGAATGTATTGAGGAATCTATAACCCCGGATCCTAAAAGACTTGGCAAGTTTCTTTCCCATGGAAAGTCCACTTGCTTAAGAATTTCAGGCTTTGTAGTGTAGAGACTTAATCTCCCAGGAGGTACAAAAGATGCAAGCTGTGTGTTGAGGGATGTCAAGCAATGGACTATATATGTATGTACTACTGGAGTTTCATATAGCATCATGATGATTAATTTAACCTGTTACGGGCCTGTTAGGCTTTTGTTTTTTAATTGGGAGAATTTCAAACAAATTTTTAAATTGTTTAACTAAAATTATTGTATGGCTTTTAGTGTCTGGGTGACTAACATTTGTAAATATTTAACATGCTTTTTAAATGCAAATTTAGCGATTACTTTTAGTTTAGTTTCATTGTGTTTCTATTTAAACACTATGCAAATGTTTTAATGTATTACAATTTCCCAAGAGTTTACAATGTTCTCTTAACAATAAAATTTATAGTGGTTTTACATTTTCATATCTTTTCTTTAACATTTTTGCTTAATTTCCATGTAATTTAATTTCCCCCTGAAAATGCAAATGTAGTAAAAACAACTGAAAACTATCGATAATAAATTAGCTGACCTTTGCATAAATAACCAACATCACATCAGCATTGCCTTCAACAATTATTTGTGGTCTCCTAATGGAAAGGGAAACATATCTGCTATTTTCAGTTGATACGATCGAGAACCCAAAGCGTGACTTTGTTACAGATGTGAATGTACTTAGTTTTGACCTTGCACCAATTAAAAAGCTCTAGGTTTAATTAAGCTTTGCACTGCACTGCAACAGTTGTTTTAAATGGTTGGCAGAGTATTGAACTTAAGCTAATTACATGGCAGATTTGACCTTGTATGAGTTTTAGATTGGTGCTCAACCTTTTATATTATCTACAATTGATGTCATAACAACTCCTGCACTTAGCATATTGTGCAGTAATATGGTATGTAGGCAGCCAAAGGTCACTATCACTTGATTGAAACAGAATTTTGGTATATAAAATGAATGAAGGAAATACAGCTAACATTAGTTTAACTAATTCCTCCATAGGCCTACTGTATTTCTGTCAGCTTACTGTTTATGTAGGCTACAGCCTGACAATAGTTCAGATCGTTTTAATGGTGAGATTCACCCTGCGTCATAAATATTCTAATTTATATTAATTAATTTATATTTTATAATTTTATTAAATCTAATTTAATTTATAAATATTCAAATAACGTGAAGGTTGAGGTGGGCATCCAGCAAAGCTGCGTGTTCGGTGAGTAGATAAAAAAAAATATATTTAGCTAAGTTCTTTGGTATATTTGCTCATGTTCATTGTTTTTTATTGGAGAAACCATGAAATATGTGTACATATATTTGTACAAACACTCCATATGATAGCAGGTTTGACGCTCCGATCATTTCAATTAAAAGGATAACTATGGCGGCAAATCAATGCCTAATCAATGCTACTTGCACTTTACATATCTGCGGCGCGTTACGGCTGCGACGCGGCTACCGGAGCTGATCTCGCCCACTCTATGCTTGTGTTTACACCAGCATAACGCACCGTGTTTCAGAAGCAGCTCTCAGCGCCGCTTCGCTAAAGATAGAAGCCGAGTCTATTTTCGACGGACACCGTGTCCAAGCTATTAAAAAAATATTAATGATACCTAATAATGTTAATAATAACAAATATATAATAAATAATAACCAAGTTATTTTGTAAATACAAAATAAAAGTTAAAAAAAAAAGTCAATTTCAAAATAAACACCCTGTGCAGATTACCAGTATTGTATTCCACACTGATATATCCCTAGTAAAACCCCCAAAAACAAGTCGGACGGGAAAATCACGTGGTCTCGCGCATCCCAGTCGCTTCATTTCTGTAATGCTGCTGGTGTGTGTTGGCACCGTGTGAAGTTGGAATAAAACCTTGTCAGAGCTGTAATGCGCCGCAGACGTGTGTAGTGTAAATAAGGGGTAAAAGAACCGAGCGCACAACTGATGCTGGCGCACGCGGTAAATGACTTCCGGGAGAGGATAACAGATCTACACGCAAGGAAACAGAAACTCGCGAGCTCATTCAAGAAAAGTGTACGCTAATGGCGTTCATTTTGTATCATTATACAAAATGAACGGCGCGTACTCTGTGCCGAAACAAAATCAAACGTCTGAATGGCCGATCGAACGTCTATCCGAACGTCTTGTAGCCTACTTCTGTTTTAGGCTGTGGATACACTTGTCCACGCAACACTTCAAAGCATCCCAGAAAGGCGGCGCTTCATTTGGAAAGATGCTGCGCGTCAAAAAAGCTAAGCTAAAAGCCAATGCCCATCTTTATGCTAATGAATTTTGTTGAACGTGACTCGAATATCCAATAGAAGTAGAGCATATGGAGACGGGGGGAAGTCTCTCAGGGGGAAGTCTCTCTATCAAATGGGGAGGCGTCGCTACACCACGTGACAGTTATGTTGCAAAAGTGGTTCCCTTTCAGTCGATAACATCGGACGTAGTTGAGGGTCGACTGAATGGGGATCGCGTCAGAGAGCCAATGTTCTTCGAGTAAATATTATGAACAGCAGCTATGCTAATTATTTCCCATCTGCTTTTCTGCTGTTATCTCGGGATGCCAGGCCTGAGGAAAATAGCGTTCGTCAGCTCCAGTTTGTATCCAGCCTCTCACGGAGACTTCAGATGCCCAAACACTTGCGATGAGACGACTAAACGCCTGTGAAGAGACGACTCAACACCGGCGACATGTTATGCCCTAAATTATTACATGATTAACTAAATGTATTTTTCCATGTACATTTCTGAAATGCACTTTCTGTAGCTGCCTTGAAACAATATGTATTGTGAAAAGCGATATACAAATAAATTTGAATTGTATTGAATTCTCGCCCGTTTCGATGGGCAGAGTTTACAAAGCTTTTGGGCAAGCTGCTGCCTCTTGTTTGCCATAGCGTTGCTACATGTCTGTCAGACCAGGACACCCATGGACATGCACGAGGGTAGCCCAGACCATGCGCTCATAGGTGAAGTGTCATGGCATGCTGGATCGGTGTCCACCTCAGTGGTCCAGGAGCGCCATATTTTGCTCAGCCTGGTTGATATGGCGAATGCGGACAAGGTTAGGTTCTTGGTTTCCCCAATTTCCTAGGTTGGGCTGGTCGGCGATGCGGCGGAGAACTGCGTCCAACAGTTCTCTGCTGCCCAAGCGCAGACGGAGGCATCCGGCAGATACTGCCCCAGCAGCCTGCTGCTGCCTCCACCCCACCACCGGTGGCAGTTCCTCCACCTGCTCATCGCTGAGGATGTTCCCTGGCTGCTGCTCCTGCTGGGCCTCTGCAGCAGCCTCCAGCCAGGCCTCAGCATGAAGCTGGATGCAGTAGGGACGCCCAGCCCAGGATGGAGGAGAATGCTCTTGGAGTTGGTCACCGATCCACTCCCTCCCCCCAGGTGAGGGCCAGGTGGAGTCTTTGTTGGTGTGTGTGTTCTGTTTCACCGCTTTGCTCCCAAAAAGAGTGGAGAAAGCGGTACCCACACTTCAAGGAAAGAGCAAATTCCTCTGTTCCTGGGCCCCAAGTGGGTAAGTCTGGGTGTGCTGGGTGAGCTGGGTGTGATTCGAGGACCCGGTCATCTGCCTTCTCACGCATCCCAGTCTCGTGGAGACAGGTAAGTGTCATGCATCACACTCAGACCCTGCTTTGGGCCACCTCCAGGCCTTCTGAGTCGGGTCCCTGTCCTCCAACTTGCTGCCCCACCATGGGTACATTTGCTATCAGAATCTGTTGCAATTCAGTTCGCTGGCTTCCACCCTGGCTTAGTGATATTAATCATACCTAGGTGTTGAGCTAAGATGCTCCTAAAGTTAGTGATATTCATCACACCTACTTGTTGAGCATTGCTCCTGTCCTGTGTGCACATGTCACAGTCCTACTGGTGAAGGATGCGATGTAGCCTTTCCTCCAGCCGATATGAAATCCGGTTTCTATAAACCTGTATTTCATTGTACCTTAGAGTGGTGGGTCATGGCCATCTTAGACCTGTGTCAGCTATAACAGGCCCTTTTGCGAAAGTCTACATTCAGTTGCTAACACAGATGCATTTCCAAATTCTCCGTACCTTAGATGGCCTGTAGCGTTCAACCTGAAGGACAGTACTTCAGACCTCGATCTCTTTGCTCCACAGATCATTCTGTGTTCTGGCATTCAAAGATGCGAAGTTTCAGTACAAGGTCCTACCCTTCGAGTGCCTAGTATTCTACTGGATTGTGCCCAAGGTTCTTACCTCTCCAGTAATAGTATCAGGTGGTGAGCCTGCGAGTGCTGCCCAGGAGGTGGCAGACCCACCCCTGGCTTTCTCTGTCTGTCCGCTTCATAGCGGTTAGACGTATACAGAACGCAAGCCTTAGACCTCAGACCAGCTCTTATCTGTTAGATTCAGCAGAGAGGGAAGGCTGTTTCCAAGCAAAGTTGGTGGCCTAGGTGTTATAGAGCTCATCTATAATAAGTGTGTGCTCTGCCTGGATGTTGACAGAGTGCTTTGCTGACAGATTCTAGAGTTGGGGGTTGGAGGTTGGGCAACACCTAGTTTGAACCGCTGTTTCCTTGGGCTCCCTTTTCCTGAAGCCAGTTTCACCATGAGCCCAGATCAAATGTTGGCTTGCTGCGTCTTTCCCCTCTTATAGACTGGATATGTGCGCCTTCTGTTATAAATTGTTATATTTGATTATTTTAAAGACTTTGACTTTATTTTCATTAGCGTTAAAAGGAATAGTCAAACATTAACGTATACAAAACGATACACAGATCATTGAAAAACCTTTTCATTTTATGGAGTCAGATGAAACGAGTTAATACATAAGATAGAATGTATTGCATTTAATTAAAAATCCCTATGCCATGGGAAGAGACGGAACACGCGTGAGACCTACACCTCTAACCGAGTACCGCCATTGGATCAATTTAGCAGGCCTTACACCTGCTTGCCAGCTAGAGGCCCTAATCTCAGGGACTGAGAGCTAGAGTACCTACTATCAGAACTGATGTTATGTTAGTAACCGAGTATGTTATCCTCTTGCGGATAACATACTCGCGCCAGCGAGTATGTTATCACGTGTGCGCCAGCATCAGTTGTGCAATCGGTTCGTTTAGGCATTGATTTTTCCGCCATTTTCCGCTTTTTTTATTATATTTTTTTGGTGCAACCATCTAACTCACTAACAAATAACACATCATCCGTGGATAAATAACACACCATCCACCACCGTTGTAAGTTTTGGTTTATCTTGCACTAGCCAGTGTTACACTTATACTGACACCTGTCGCATATTTGTGTACTGTGCATGCAGCATCGTATAAAAGTAAAGGTGTAGTAATTAATAATTTCAAGTATGATGCGACTGTTAATGCATATTTCATGTTTCCTTGAAAGGCCAATTTTCGTGATCAACAACATTCAGTAACATTAAGTGTAACATTCAGTGGCACATGGCACTCAAATACAGAGTCACCCACAAACTGACGACATGTTTTAAAAAAATCAGTTGAACTTATTTACAAATCAGTAATATATTTTTTTCAATCACTAAATTAGGCTAGTGTCACAACTACACCAGTACAGCTGTTCAAAACATCCGTCAGTCACTACTAGAGGTACCACAAAATACAGGAACACGTTTTGCATCATTGTCAGTGGCACATTATGCAATCCATTGGCACGTTACACGTTTTAGTGGCTCATGTCAATAAAAACCGGATGTGCCACTAAGCATGTGCATAAGATGCCCTGCCACTGTTAATATGTCCTCTCTCCATTATGTGTCTATGCACTCTGTTGGGAGGGATGATGACAGCTGATGGAAACATGACCCTGAATTTACCAGAGTAGCCCTCCGTTTTTTTTTTTTTTGTGTGTTTTTTTTTAGCCATTTGTTTAATGCTGAGTACGTGTTTATGTCTTCAACACTCCCTGCGGTGAAGCTCGGCATGACATGATGAAATCTGAGAGACTGGGTGACATGACAAGATAATGTTGTCACACAACACCCGCTCCGTCAGCGCAATATTTCGTTGCGTTAGGGGAGACGGCCTGTGCCTGCTATGTTTGATACGCAGACAGCGGGAGGCTTGGAAATCTCATCCGTCTTTATTAAAATCCCTGCTGTCGCCGCGGGAATAAGAGAATCAACATAGGCATCACTGCTAATTTATGTATTCATCAACTCGGCAGCCCCGGTTTTGTTTGTCCTCGTTCCCTCATGACATTTGACGAGAACCAGCGATGTGTTCCAAACTCACTCCAGTCAGAGCAGATATTATTTGAAATGGTTTTATTTAAATATAAATATGTGTACAAAGTTACAAGCAACAATAGCTCATTTTTTAGCAAATAAAATCATTTGAACATTATTAAAAAAGAAAACGGAAGGAAAAAGTCAATTAGTTGTGGAACACTTTTCACCTCTCCAAAACTGATAAGTAACATGGGGTAAAAACCGTTGTGAACCAAATGAAGTCAACTCAAAGATATAGATATGCATTTTAGAATATAAAGGTACTTTACAATAGAGCAGCTTACACGCTGTACATTAAGGCTTATATAAAATATAAAAATAAAGACAAGCAATGTTTTGTTTCGCATATCTTACAGTTCAATTTGACGTTTTTTTTTTTTTTTTTTTCTTTCCAAACGGAGCCAACCATTCAGGCTTAAAAGAAATGGCAGTATGGAAACCTCCAAATGCAAGTCTCCACGATCGAATTGACGAAGGGTGCAGTAAGCGGTTTCTCACACAAGGAACAAACAGATGAGAAGAAATGCTGAATACGTTCACGTACACACATCATCTGCATGCAACAGACAGGAGTGAATTTCCCAACAATTTGTACAGTCATTGAAGTGGCTTTAAGTAGATATGGACAGTACTGCATTTTAACTTGCTATTTCTTTTTCTGTTTTTTTTTTTTCCTTCTTCTTCTATGTAAACATGTTGGTGCTACCTGACAGTGTCAGCAATGTCAGCATGACATAACTGTCACCTTGGCACACTCTGTATTTAATAACATACAGTGGTCACGTAAAGAGGAACATTACAAGAGTATTACGGCACACTGCAAGACCGTGTGGTAATTTAGGTTTGCCGTACATATAGAAATCGTGGTCCCGAAATGGGCTCTACTCTGAACTCTGCAACAAATTCTTGAGAGCATAACTTAAAAACACCGCTCCTCTAAATTAGCTTCTTTGGGGATTGGCTAATCCTTGTTCCATCAATCAGACAGAAATACATTTTATGGATTTTGTCAATTTTTTATTATTATGTTTTAACCAAAGCATTCCAGATTCCAGTTTCCTGCACTGGTCCATTGAGGCTTTACATAAACACTCTCTTGAGAGCCCAACAGCCGTGCAGACTGCAGATTTCTCAGGGTGAGCGCATGCGCTCTTGCCTTCTGCTCCCCTGCTTTTGTGGATTGAACTTTGAGCCACTTTGTGTAGGCAAGACATGTTGTCATTGATACACAAATGTGCTTACAATTCCATCAGCATGCCAACAAACACATTTTTTTTTTTTTACTTTTTTTCTTATTTTACTTTTTATTTCACGTAATTTTGATTGTTTCAGCATAGTGTCATGGTCTTGTCCCCATTTACAAAGGTTAGTTCATGAGGGCACTTCACAGCACTGCTCTCTCTCTCTCTCTCTCTCTCTCTCCAAGATCTAGAAGAGTTAGTGCTGGAGACATTTTGCAGAAATACAGTGCAACAAATTGACGGACAGTGTTCATTTCCCCTAAAGTTCAGCATTTGGGGAAAGAAAATCAGTCGCTTGAAGGTGACTTCTAAGCTTGAGTGGCACGTCGTAGTTCTTTCGGAGAAAAAAAAGTCTCTCATCGATCCAACATTCACTTTCAAGACGGCAATAAAGCTTTTCCGCCTCTTGTATCTCAGTTTAAAGTTTGCTTAACCCCTCCTGAAGCCAATTCAGAAGAATGTCCTTGTGACACTGATCATGCCAAACCCTCAGCGGGTCTTTTAGGGAGCCTTCACACATGAGTCTGCATGCGTTGCTGCGAGGGCCGCCCATAGTCCGACTGCTGTGACGACACCTGCGAGGATGCGTATGAGAAACGGGAGGAGCTAGATACTTTGCTGGCCTGGTCTGAATGCTCGTATCCGTCGACCTTTTCGAAGGAGGCGGGTTTGACGTAGCTTGTAAAGGCGCGACCGTAGGTGGCGGGCAGGTAGGCGGAGCCTGCGTAGACTGGCTCCTGGGGGTAGATGGTGGGAGTTTGCTGTTGTTGCTGTGGTTGTTGCGACTGCTGTTGCTCATAGGTGGTGCGTGTGGCAGGGGTTGTGGCGTAACGCTGGGAGAAGTCGTAAATCCGAGGCTGAGCGGACTGTTGGCCGTATAAGGGGCTCGGCGAGGGAAGCTGAGAGGGAGTGTAGACTGGGCGAGCATTAGGGACATATTCGGAGAAGCCGGTTCTCGTGATGTTGCGGTCCTCGTGAGCCCGCACATTGTAGTAGCCATTGGTGGGATCCTAGGACGAAAGAAAAAAAAAACCTCGTCAGAATATTTTTTAAATATTGTACTGAATTAAACGCATGCAAATGATTTAGCTACAGTAGAAGTTTGCGATTGATCGATAACTGTAGGCTTTCTTGAACATGATCCAAACTTGTAGTGTAATACAAATATGTGTTCAGCAAGTTAGTGTTATTAAGTACAATATTTCCCTCAATCCTTTTGCTTTTATCAGATTAACCATCAGATTCATGCTTTGTGAAATGTAATACCTTGATATCTGATCTCTCATCTTCCTCCTCCTCCAGTAGGTCGCTGTGCTCTGTGCGAGAAGTTCCTGGAGACTCACTGCTGTTGGGAGCCTGAGAAAAGAACAGATATTTGGGTTAGAGACTGTTCAGTGTCTATGGCATTTGAAATGTCATACACTCGTAATTAATAGTGTCCCTAGCTCCTGGTCTTATTGTAAAGACATTATCAGTAGACATTTTTACTAAGTAAAATATAATAAATGACTAGATTTTGGCTGGTGTCACTATAATTTTTATGTTTATGTTTTCTTATTGCATATCCAGTTTCCCTTGGGAATATGCAACTGTTCTTGTTTTTCCTGCTGTACGGCACTTGATGTAAAAGCTATTCCTATCTATAAGAATATTCTGTGCATTGGTTTGAGAGGGGCTTACCATAGGCTCCTTCACATCCTCCTCATCGTCATTTCCTCTTGCTGCGTTGTGGTCACTGTGTACGATTTGTACGCGGATGTCGCTCTTAGACAGACGTGTGCCCTTTTTGCCTGGGTGAGGAAATAGCGCAGTGTATAGAGATTAATGAGGTGAACGGTGGGAAGATTTCCAGAGAGGTGAAAAGGTCAACACTGCTCCAGGCAAAGAGGTGGCCCCATAATTAACCTCTTGTCTAGTTAGTTCGTTTGATTTCTACTGTATCATGTTTTTTGAGGAGAGAATAAGAACTCTCAGATAACATCTGACCTTTGACCTCACCTTTAGCAGTGTGGCGGCAGCAGATGGAAACCAGGGTGATGACACAAACGATGAAGACGCAGCCTCCGCCCACCGATGCTCCAATGATGATTAGCAAGGGGAGGGCCTCTATAAGGGAAACAGGTATTCTATTAAGACACTATCTCTTGAACACAATCCAAATTCAGGCTGCTCATGCATTTCACAGCATTACAAGGTCAGTCACAAAACAAGTGGATTTAATGATTTTACATTTCGATTTTATTGGTCTCATAGCTTAGTTTGTCCCTCTACAATTTTTGTCAATTTTATAGTAGAGCCCGAGCGATTAAGGATTTTGAAGACCAATACCGATACAAATATTTGTTGGTATATATCGGCCGATATTTTTTTATTAAACTTGTTTCTTTTATTGGCTAGTCTATGATGAGCCATAATTTAGCAATGGATAACGTCATACTGCAAATTGTAAAACACATTTTCAACATAACAGGCGAAGGAGAGATGATACGTCTCATTGCTATAACTGTCACGTGCTATTAAAGAAATACATTGTCAAAAGTTAAAAGGACAGTCAGTCAACTACACTGTTACAACGTAACGTAAAAAAATGAGCTACACGCATCAAAAGAATGAGAAGAAATAAGTGCAATGATGTAATTAAAAAACTGACAAGTTATAGTGCTGTCGATATATAAACCTAAGTTAGCATGCTAAATTACTAGCCCCGGCCCGGCAGGTGTCGTAATACCAGTTTCGGCCATGGGAGGCGGTATGCGGGCGGGCAACATTACCACCAGCCAAACTGCAATAGACGAGTAACTCGCGCGGCTTGTGTGTGTACTTGAACCTGATGTCAGTCGTGTGGAAAATACAGCCCACTACTACATTTCAGTTCAGGGAAGAGTTAAAAAAATGATTGGTCGACATTATGCATGAGGAATACATTTTGGTAAGTTGTAGCATACTGTGTCTTTCAACAGTGTTCGTGTTCTTTTTCCATTAGCTAGTAGAGATGATCGGTTCACGTGCGCTAGGGATCTGTCGTGTAACATGTACAAGCGACAAAACAGTATTTATTGTTTGAATTGCGTGATAAAATTGACCGAATCTGAGAGCTTAACTAACCTGTGTCTCACGGTGAATTCGTGAGAGTTGGCAGCTCTGAATGGCACTAGGTTGATCAACATCAGCGAATGCTGTCTGTCAAATTAATTCAAACTAACAATAAAAGTGTAATATGAACAAAACGAATAAAATAATAGCCCGCAGGCTTTTATTTTCCCATATCGTCGAAATGCACCAGCTTGTTTTTGAGACAGGCGTCTATGAGATGGTCTTCATCATTTAGTGTTGAGATGTTGTTCATTGAGTCTCTGATCTCTAAAAATCCCCAAATGCTCCACGTAAAACCTCGGTCTTCCAACCTTTTATTATCGTGTCAAATGATTTGAATAATATGCGGAGAAAGAGAGCAAAACAGCACTCGCTTGTGTTGTTTGAAGACGTGAGAGTGCGCGCGGCGGCGGCACAACACATTTTCTGGAGGTATACTGCCCCCATCTGTTATGGAATATGTAATATTTTTTGATTTTTAGTTCCAGATGGCACCTTTAACAGCAGCAAAACTGTACACGATAGTCACAAATTTTGTCATGCTAAAAATTTTGTCATTCGTGTAGAGTGCCCTCTGGTGGACAAACTATACAACTCCAACACTCATGACATGGTTGATGCGTGTTTCGTCTGTTTTTATTTTATTTTTGAAATATTCATTTATCTGCCATTATAACTGCCGATACCGATAGTTTGTAAAATGCCTAATATCGGCCGATAATATCGGCCTGCCGATAAATCGGTCTGGCTCCATTTTATAGATCTTAAATAGGGTATTTCTTTTCTTTTTGCTTTAAACTTTGGGGCTAAAGTATGACTCAGTGTATGACATGTTCTTGACAGTTATTTGTGAGATGATTTCATTTACATATTATCAAAAGATATCCCAGTCCTCCAGATGATTCAAAAAAGGCTGTCTGCTTGACAAATGCGTTCTCCCAGAAACTCTTTTTCCAAGCCACGTCCAAACTGAAGCGCAACATATAGAAATTCATCTAGTGTGATCTGCGGTGGCATCACAGGACCCAGCTATTGTCTCTAATCTCTGGTGGAAGAGGGGTAACCAGACCTGACATGCAGCGAGGCAGCCGACAGTAATCTAATTAGAGATTCCAGGAGATAGCACTGTCTGCCTCTCCAGAGACTTGGCTCTGCTGCCTTGATGCAAATTGCTGGCGAAGACCTTATTTTTGGTGTCTTCCAGTACAAAGGCTCAAGCCGTCTACAACGCTCTTAGTCTTATTTAAGCAAATTTAAGATGGTGCACTGTGCATACAAAATGTAACGGTCAGTGAAGCGTCACATACCCATGTCGTACATTAGGTCTTGATTTAATTCATTCAGGCTCAAAATCTATATCTTTGTTATGGAACGAATGTATTCATTAAGTCGACCATCTCCTGATTAAATGATATTGATTTGGTGGTGTATAATTAAGATTAGCACAGGGTTGCAGGGTGTTTTGGGATGCAATCCCTCCATAGAGCGGACTTGAACTGGATTAAGCTTGTCATGACTAATCTTAAATAAAAGGCAAAAACTCTAAGGTGGACAAACCGTACAACTTACTGTCAGTGTTTTAAAATCATCCGTCCTTTAATGACTAAAGCAATGGTGCCAAACAGAGCTTGGCCCGTACCCAAGTCTAAAACCCCATGCCACTTTTCTCACTTTACTTTCAGTTGTTTGCTTCTCAATCCTCCATTTTGCCTCTCCTGACCCAACATTTCTCAGAAAATCCCCCCAAACATTTCCTCGCTGATCTGCACTACCAGTCAAAAGTATGGACACACTTGACTGAATTTGAAGCTTAAAGGCATAAAATTACTTGTTAAACAAATATAAAGTGTGCCTATGTAAAACTTTCTTGGCAAAAAAAACCAAAAAAACAATCAATACTAATTTAATTTCAATATTTTTAAAAGCATCTCAACTCAGTGATTTAAAAGCATGTGCTGTCCACTTCAAAGAAGCTAAAATATAATGTAATTTTGATTTATTTAACAAAAATAATTAATTTGTTTGATCCCTACATCATTTCCATACTTAATTTCATGTAATTTCATGATTTAATGACCACTACCATTCTAAAAGGTGGAGAATAGTAAGGAAATAGGTGTGTCCAAACTTTTGACTGGTACTGTATGTTTTACACAGGATAATATGACATGAGGACCCATACCTTGCTCTTCAAGAGTGACCAATGCTGTGCCTGTACCGAAGCGGTTCCAAGCAGTGCAGTTGTATCGAAGCTGGAAATCTTGGGCCAGAGTCTCTGAGAGAATTAGCGAGGAGAGGACCCCCTGGTCACTGTTTACTGTCTGCACGGAGAAACGACCAGAAGAGCCAGATGACAAGATCATATCCCCAAATGTCCACACCTGAGGAGGAAGAAACAACAAGGTGTAAGGTAAAGCGACAATCTTTTTCTCACACTTTAAGCAAGCATGAAATGTTTACAAACGGTTACAACAGTTACAAATGATTTTATTGATTTGATCATGAAAAGTTAAGAGGGATATTTGATATCAAGCAGAAAGTTTATTTATAACAATAACACGCACTGTGTGAATTATTTATACTATGACCAGGAACATGTATTAAGTACAAGGATCTCAAGGATCAGGATCGATTAAGTTTTTTTTTTTTTTTTTTTTTACTGATCGGTATCGACTATCCCAAGCGTCATGCTTTATTTTAAAACGGATGTCAATGCGGTGTTTTACAGTAGGTGGCGATATGCATTTTAAAGTGGGTTTGCTAACGGGTGACTGCCATTAAACGGCAAACAAGAAGCTAAAATGTGCATTTGTAATGTGATATATCTATATATATATATATATATATATATATATATGAAGAGTTCAGATGCAAAAGCCTCTAAATGCCATTTGAAATTTTCTTCTTTAATGATGATTTTTATCAAACTTGTATATTTAAGTTCAGTAATTTCACTTAAATAACAATTAATAGGTAATTATCATTGCCATATTTAAGTGAAAACACTGAACTTAATTATACAAGTTTGATAAAAATCATCATTAAAGAAGAAAATTTCAAATGGCACTTAGAGGCTTTTGTATCTGAACTCTTCATACATATATATATATATATATATATATATTTATATAGCTGTAGTAGTAGTATGTTGGAATCACTCAGTAGATTTAGATAATTATTTTTTTTACAATTTACATTTGAGCCCCTGATAAACTCTCTGCACATCCCTGTACTTGAAATTTGCACCAAGCTCTCTAAGAAAATACAAGTATCAGATCGGGACTCTATGTCGGCAGATTCAATATTCGGATCGGATCAGGAGAACACAAGAAACCTGATCGGGACATCCCTAGTATTAAGTGAATGGGGTCCATTTTGATTCCAGGTTGACTTAAAACATTAAAAATTTGTAATGACTTACGTCATTAAAAAATTAAAGCCTAGTCCAACCAGCACAGCAACTAAAAGTGGCATTTTGAACATAAAATAATTAAGGACATGGACATAAAAATTGTCAACCCAGGACATTCAGTGTCTTATAGTCAGATTACAATTTTTCTTATGCTCGCTGTCATGTCGAGTTGGTTTACCAACAGTGTTGTGCCTCGGCTTGCGAAAAAGAGCTTTGTGAGAAAGCGTGCGGGGAAGACAAGTAGCTCCTGTCTAGAAGAAGGTCAGTCTGAAATCTCAAAGCTACTCAGAGAGAGAGAGAGAACAAGCCATTGTTTCTTCCCTTCACCTTTCTGGCAAAGAGGTGAAATAGCATGTCAGAGAAGTCCTCCCTTGACTGGCCTGAGGTAAAGGAATAACAGGCAATAACACCCTGAATCCCCACCTGTCACTGTTTCCAGGATCAGATTGTTTTCCTCCTCTCTGATTCCTTCTTTGCATCATTGCTTTCAGTTACCCTTGCTTCCATCTGTCTCTGTATCTGCTTCTCCCTTCTTCTCGCTGCCTTTCCAACTTAGACCCTAATTATCTACTGAAATGCCTACCCACGTACTAAGAGGTCATGGGAGGTCAGCGGTGCTATGCACTAATTGCTCGTCGTTGGAAAGGAGCCTAGAGGGCCGGAGGTCCTCTCTGCAGACCCTGGCATTAGTGCGGTTCGCCTCTGCACGCTTGAGGGTGGAAGAGGTGAGCTACACGATCAGCCCTCTCATCGAGCGCTCTCTAATAGGGGAACGGGGCTGTGTAGCCGCGCGAGTGTACATTCGTGTGGGTGTCGGATATGGAAAGAGAAACAGGAGCAAGGGAAGAGAAGCCTCGCATGAGATATTGGTGGAGGGAGCTTGAGCGTGTGATGTGCACACACACAGAAAGCACCTGCTCAAGGGAGAGGCTCACAAACAAGCTTGTCAGGAAAAAGGCTAGACTAAGCAAACACACACACAGAAATAGGAGAAAGTATACTTACAATCTTGTCAGGAGGAGGGCTGCTACCAACCAGACACTCCAGCTTGCCCTTGGAATGCTTGACGGCCTGCTGCGTGGCCTCAGCCGTGATGATGGGAGGGCCTGAAGTGTTTGTGTGAGAGAGAAACAGAGATGAAGAGAAATCGTACTTACTAAGGATGCTAATGAAAACAAAGAAGACCGAGCTGATGGTCCTTGTGCACTAGACTAACTGCATGAGTCATGCACATAAATATAAAGCTCATAAATTAAAGAAGCAATTCAATGATTAATAGTAAAAATTGCAGCTTTTGTTCCAAACCCTAGTAGAAGAATCCACCTCATGGTTTTGTATCATGAATACAATCCAACAAATGAAATCAAAAGACAGAATTTGGTTACCATTGACAGTTAGAGTTACGTCTCTCTCGGCCACACCGATTCGAGGCACGATGGCTTTGCAGGTGTACGTCCCAGAATCCTCTTGGGTGACTGCCTTCAACTGCAGGGTGTTACTATTGCTGAGCACCTGTTAAATAAAATGAACAAGAATAGCCTTTGTTTAGACCTGTTGCTAAACCAAGACATTTCTCATCAAGTGTCCACAGATATGGAGCTTTTCCAGTACCAGCTCGACTCGACTTGGCTCGGCTCAGCTCGCTTTTCGTTCCGTTTTCCATTGCCGCCACAAATAGTACCCGGTCGTCATAGCGACGCCTTTCGTTCCTCGTTGCCCTATCAAGCTCTCGCTGGATCCTCTCTTCGGCCACCAAACAATGGAAAGTCTGCACCTCCTCGTTTGACCTCGTTTGATTTTATTGACTTGATCATGAAAAGTTAAGAGGGATTCTTGATGTCAAGCAGAAAGTTCGTAATTTTTATTTATAACACGCACTGTGTGAATTATTTATAGTAGGCCTATGACCAGGAACATGTATTAAGTACAAGGATCTCAAGGATCAGGGTCGATTAAGCTTTTTTTTTTTTTTTACTGATCGGTATCGACTATTCTAAGCGTGATCCTTTGTTTTAAAACGGATGTCAATGGGGTGTTTTGCAGTAGGTGGTGATATGCATCTTCAAGTGGGTTTGCTAACAGGTGACTTCCATTAAATGGCAAACAAGAAGCTGAAATGTGCATGTGTAATGTTATATATATATATGAAGAGTTCAGATGCAAAAGCCTCTAAATGCCATTTGAAATTTTCTTCTTTAATGATGATTTTTATCAAACTTGTATATTTAAGTTCAGTAATTTAACTTAAATAACAATTAATAGGTAATTATCATTGCCATATTTAAGTGAAATCACTGAACTTAAATATACAAGTCATAGCGACGCCTTTCGTTCCTCGTTGCCCTATCAAGCTCTCGCTGGATCCTCTCTTCGGCCACCAAACAATGGAAAGTCTGCACCTCCTCGTTTGACCACGGCGTATTCTTCCGAGTTGCCACAATAATAGTAACTATCTCTGGCCAAACTATTTAAAAATAGCGAGGTTATTCTGGATACTCCATCTGGCGCGTGTAATGATGACGCAGTGAATGGTGACGATTCTCTCTGACCAATCAGCAGTCGGCATTGTTTTCACGTGACATTTTAGTATCGCCTTAGCTCGCTCAGAACCTCGCCGAAGGTGGTACAAAAAAATTTATCCGAAAGCAGGAACAGGTACAACTTACACAGTGGAAAACCAAACAAACCGAAAACCGAGTCGAGTCGAGCTGGTAATGTGTAGTGGAAAAGCGCCAATAGAAACATCAGGTAAGAGTTTGCCACAAACCACATGTCAATAATTTATACCAACAGAAAGAGAAAACGTCTGTATGAAAGTGCCTGTCTATATGTTTGTAATATTGATGTTTTTTTCACTTCCTGTTAAAGTCTTATGTTTCTAGCAAGTTGTGGAATAAAAATCATTACAGAAAGTCAATATTTCCCCAGGATAATTGGGAAGATTGTGACGCACAGCATGATTTTTTTGTTTGTTCCAGACAGATCAAGCCATGGCCCTCAGAGATGGCCCCATTAGCACCAGTCATCCATTTTGTAGTTTGTGGCTCACACAAGAGAAAGACCAATGCCACCAATACCAAGGGGAAAGCATTGACTCCGCCTGTAATTTCGTCTGCAGCAATCTTAATTACTGTCTAAAGCGCTCCAGCCTGGGTCCTCTGAGTCAACCGACTGCTCTAATTAAACCTACTACAATGGCAGAGCAAAAATTTCCGGAGTGTGAGCAGATCCTTGTGCTCCTTCGCCTCTAGTGCACACACTGTGGTCACTTGTTAGAAGCCATCATTAGATTGATCATTAGAGCACCCTCTTCCCCTTCCCTTCCTTCCCCTCTCGACGCCGCCAAACTGTGATTAATCCGTTTAGCACTCGCCTCGATTTTTCATTCGCCGGCACTCATCGAATTAGCCAATTAATCCATATCTTGTGGCGATGAAGTAAACGCTCTACTTGTGGATCAGATCGGCCCATACTCAGGAAGGGCAGGGTGGAGGGATGTAGTCATGGCAAAATTAACTGATTGCCTCATCAGAACCTCCTGGCTTTTCAGCCTTGGCCTCCCACTCTCTCTTTTTCTTTCCTCTCTCGCTTTTTGTTTGCTTTCTCAGGCTCTTTATGAAATCTGATTAAGCAGCAGCAGAGAAACACTTACAGCAGAAAGGGCTGATGCATTTCACACCCCTTCTGGAGATAAACTTTCATTTTAGGCTAGCAATCACTTTATCCATTTGCCATATTCTTGTAAATGCACCGTAAACAGAAATGCCATCCATTAACCATCCAGCACTGAGCAGAAAATCATTTGATCTTTTCTCTACAGACAGGGGTTAAATTGGGATGGAGATTGGTGGGGGAAATGTGGTGTTGATTCTGGTGCCATAAAAAAAAATAGATATGACTTGAATGGACGGACTGGGCGGTACTGCCCAAAATGACATACTTTTGTGTACTTATCTTAAGTACTTAATGTGTACTTAAACTATTCATGATAGAGGTACAGTATTTTTGCCGTCTTCCTCAGATTCCGCTGAAAACAGTAATAACCGAATACCCGGCTTGTATACAGACCGTCAAAGGCCAGTGAAATCGATGTTGTTTGGCAGATTCACGAGCAACAACCAATGGAAAAATTGCCGATGGAAAAATGTTTTTCTTACCCAATCAGGAGAAGGTTATCATGAAGTATTTAAGCAAATCGGAGGACTCTCAGAGTGGAGGAGACGACAAAAAGCGAGTATAAACGAGGCTTTACAGAGCGAGAGAGTGATTTTCAGAAATAAATGACAAAAATCGAATTTCCGTTTTTGAAATTCTCTAGTATATTGTACATTTTTCACTCATACTTCCTTTATAAACACATTACATGCATGCTTTTGTTAGCTTAGGGTCTTCTGAATCCATAGATACCAAACACATAGTGTTCTATCCATCTCCATTACATGTAGTTTATGAGCCCAAATGTCAAAAATAGAGAAAACAGACCAAAAAGGGCTTAGTCCCCAGAAGGTTAATATACTGGTTTATGTAATGAACCTTTTTTTGAGTTAATAACTTACTAAATGGAATATGTGTACCGGATCAAACAAAAACTGGGCTGGAAAAAACTATGGATTGTCAACCAAAACAAAAGGCGTTCTGAATCATTGCGACTCAATCATTCCATATCCTAATGGAAATCAAATTAAACCTATAGCTTGATGGTATGCCATATTTAGAAAGAAGAAGAGAAGAGGTCACCATACCACACTGGATCCTTGTTTGGTCCAGGCCAGAGTGAGGGGAGGGTTGCCCGTCCACGAACAAGTGAAAGCAGCATCCATCCCTATGTCCACTGTCTGGGGTTTTGGTTCTGTCAGCAACCTGGGACCAACTGCAAATTAAAGATGTGGATTCATATTGAGTTCTTGAGTGTTTTTGTGTGCACAAAACAGGAATGAAGCCCATTACACTGTTCTCATCTGCAGTCTTATTAATGGAAATATGCTAGAATACAAGTAGGAAATAAAGGTCACTCCTAGAAGAGATTGTGGGAGGTACAGTACGTATATTTCAATATTTTTGATGGAAAAAATACGATTGTGTTCACCTCTTATATATGAAAATGTATCATATAGTGCCACGTTTACAATATTTATGAGGTTGATCATACCTAACATTATGCTATTGATTATACCTATACATTATATCATTTAATAGACACTTCATTTCTAAAACATCCACATGAAGACCAAAATACATGGCCCAAACAAAAAAGGTGAGTAGTATATCTAGCACGTTTAATACAATGCTACAACAAACTCTACATCTCTAAAATCCTGACCAATAGAGCTTTGTTTTCTTTTACAGAAAACTACTTACATTGTACATCCACCAAGGTGCTGACATTAGTACTTCCTACTGAGTTGGACACCTCGCAGGAAACTGGGTCTGTGAAGTAAGAGTGATCTACGGTCACCTCCAGGCTGTCGCCATTGGCCTCTGAGATAGGAATCCCACCTTTGGACCATCTGTTTGAAATATGGTGATGAAAATATATCCAGTTATTCGATTAAATTCACCATAAATCTTCTTAGTGATGTTGCTACCTTTACATTGAAAACTATTATTGACATCAAACATTGGAGCAACTGTGATCTGTAATTTATATATCCAATTCGGGGTTTACCCTCAAACCCAAATCTGATGGAGTGGATAATCTGGGATTAAATGTGATATTAAATGTGCTTACCTGTAACCTGTGATCTCAGGGTTGGCAGAGGCAGAGCAGATGAACAACACTTTCGCTCCCTCCATCACCGTCTGAGGCTGAACAGACAGAGTCACAGACGGAGGATCTGGAAGGGAACATGCAGGATTAGATTCACTGCAGCAATAGAGGCTTTACAAATCCTTCCCAATGACTTTACTGCAAAGCTCCAGGTGTGTAAATCTAAGTCAAAATCCTTTTTTTTTTTTTTAAATCCATTTCCCTGTTCAATTACACATATTCTTTTACCTTAAAAAAACTGCTTATCTATAGACAATTGCACAGTTCATTGCAAACATATACAAACCACTTCTCATATTTATAGAATCACTAATCTTATTCTGAAATATTGCTCTCTCCATGTTATTTTTTATTGTGACAAAACTTTTTCAAAACACTAAGTAGCCAGTGTTGTTTTCAAGCGTTCAATACAAATGCAAAATGTGGCCTCTACCTGCAAAATTAAAGCACTATAAACAAAAAAAAAAAAAGAATATATAAATAACACTCACGTTGAACATTGATGGTAACCGAAGTTTGGCGACCTGCGGGGGCGGCTGGGTTTAGGACCCTGCAGGTGTAGGTACGTCCAGAATCGCTGTCCTCAGGCACCATGGGTAGCAAGCTAACCGCTGTTTCTCTCTTTCCATCCTCCATCAAAGTCTGAAAAGACAGTAATGCAGTGTGAAAACAGTAAAAAAAAACTGAGACCGTATCAGTGCTGGTGGAACAAATTGCTGTTGCTCTCTGAAATTAGAATGCCTCAATGAAATGTTCTGAAAATAATGCAGCTCTTAAACCTAACTGTAATTTCTATTACGTGCGACAGCCTTTGAATTCAAATAAGAAGAGCCATTTGACAGACAGGATGGCCACTGAAATGTTATTTCGCCCTAATGGTCGGTGTACTTCAGATACCGAACCCAGCTGTTTCTCTCATCTTGTTATCACTGTTAAAATCACACAGACATGATAATCCTAATCTAATTGTCCTATATTTCCTGATGCAAGTCCTAATTTAATAAGGAATTCCCATGATGCCAGTAATCCCATTTGAGCTCAAGTCTGTGCCAGCACTGTAGGTTGAGCATTGCAGAGAATTAAAGCCGCCATCAGTTTAGCGTTTAGCGAGGCAGGTGTGCGTTTGTGTTTTACAACGCTGCCGGGACCATTCTGCCATTTAACTCGTTTTCCCAAAGATCTGTCTATCAGCTCTTCCTGCTGCACATCATCTTCGGAATCTATTTATTGTGTGAAAGAAATCAATACACCTAAGTAGGGAGAGGTGAATTGTGCCGCGATGAAACTACAAGACAGAGTTTTGGGGGCGTTTGGAGGGGGGAAAGACAGTGCTGTACTGGGGCAGGAGCATTATGGGAAGACAGTTCCCTGGAGAGCCTGGGGCGAATCGATGGCAGGTCACACGCTTAACCTCCGACGCGCTGAATGCATTTTCACGCTAGATCGAGTCGCGATGCCGCCTGTCATCAGCCTGTCCTTTTATTATTGCTCATCTGCTCCGTCAACCTTTTTCACATTCCTTCACTTTGTTCTTTGTGTCTTCATGTGGCTTTCCGTTTCATTATTTTTTTTTGTTTCAAATCAAAATGGCTTTGAGTTTTCTACCTCACTCTTAAACAAGCTTCTCCCGTGTTCATTTTTCTCTCATCTACTTTCAGTTCCATCTGTCTTTCTTTCTCTCCTCTTCCCTCGATTCACTGCTCACTTTTCCCCCCCTTTAAACGTGTCGTTTAGTGTCATTTAGCGTGGTCAGGGAGCATGACAAATGTGACACTTTCGCAGTTGCACCCGGTTCATGCTCCAACGCACTTCCCATTGTGTTTCGACATTGTTGTGGCTGATTTCCCCTCCTCTTCCTCTCTCTCTCTCCCTCCTTTGCTCTTTCTCTCTCAGCGGAAACTGTATCAAACGCTTATGCCTGTCTGAGCTTTGACATGCTCCAGTTATGCTCGAGTATTAGAGCAACAGCGAGAGTGAGAGAAAATAGAGGCACAAAAGGAGGCAGCTTGCGGTGGGGTGATGAGGATGAGACATACAGAGATTGAATTCGAGAGTTTTTGCAACTTTGCTCGTGCACTGTGAGATAGAATTTATGTGAAGGACAGGTAAGAGGCAAGACAGATATCCTAAGTTGTAATCAGCCATAGTGACTGTCATGCCTGTCAGTAATGTGTCGACAGCCTCACCTTTGAGTAGATGGCATCGTGCATTATCTCTCCATCTCGGTACCAGGTAATTTCTGCGGCGGGTTTGGCTCCGGATGCCCGGCATGTCAGGTTATGAGGGGTGTGAGCTTTCAGTCGAACAGCTGGCCCTCCTTCTACTACTGGATCTGAAGGTGGCACTGAAAAAAAAAAAAAACAACAACTTTTTTTTTAATTTGGGAGAAAAAAAAAACACAATTTCCACCCAATTAGCCTGAAATGTGCAGGTGTCAAATCACTATGGGAACCCACAAGTGGCTTGTTGAAGACATTGTGATAAACCTGGCAATGACCAACGTGAGACTTGGATTTGTGAGAATAAATATTAAAAATGATCCAATCTTCATCTTTGCATTCTATTGATGATACATTGTTTATTTTACACAGTATGACGGCATATACTTTATGTTTTTGAAATGAATATTTTGTTAGAAACCCAACATAGTTAATCAACATAACAATGTTAAAGGAGAACTCTGGTGCAAAATGAACCTTTGGTCTAATAAAACATCGGTACCTAGTCAATCGTTCTCTGAGATTTGTTTTCATGATATTTTTTATCTCTAAAAACTATTTAGCGTATAATGCTAGTATATGGGGCATAGAATAAGTAAATATCGCTCGTTAATACCACTAACAAGGCTCAAAATAGCCCCACACTAACACAGTAACATAATGAGGGTCCCTACATGCAAAACAAAGCATTGAGAACTTTGTAAGTGTACAGAATGTTTAATAAGAAGATGCTTTATAAAGACAGTTCACTTCGTGTATACAGACAGGAGCCATCTTAGAAAATAGTCTCGACAAGTCGATCCCCGAACGCTGTTCATACAGTTCAGCTCACTCAGCACGAAGTTCGTGGTTTGACTTGTCGTGACTGTTTTACAAGATGGCTCCTGTCTGTATACACGAAGTGAACTGTCTTCATAAAGTATCATCTTATTAAACTGTCTGTACACTTACAAAGCTCTCAATGCTTTGATTTGCATGTAGGGACCCCTTATTATGTTACTGTGTTAGTGTGGGGCTATTTTGAGCCTTGTTAGCAGGGGCGTGGTAGTGGGGGGAAAAGTGGACCTGACTACCCAGGGCCCCGTCTAGGGAGAGGGCCCTTTAAAATCCCACCAATTTTAAAAAAAAATTTTTTTTTAAACCTAATTAGAATTAATTGGGCCCTCCAATTGATGTCATTAATAATAATTTTTAAAAAAATATTGACCAAAATGAACTCAGTGCCAGACACTCTGGACCCCCTTCCAATTGGTTTAGTCCGCAACGCGTCGACCGCCCATAGACGCAGCGGGCGGCAAACAAGTAATAACGCAGTGAGCCTAGCCTGTAACGGGAGCCTGATCTGATCATGCTGTGCAAAAAGCCCAAATCGGGCTTTAAAAAAAAGAAAGAGAGGAAAGAAAAAGATAGGAGGCAGAATGCGGGGAAGCAGCTGATGACTGCTTTCTTCCCAAAAGGTGAACTGAGTTTGCTATATGCACCTAACGTTACATCCAATTAAAGTTAACGTAACTTAGTCAACTCCAGACAGCTGCTGCTAATGCAGGGTTCCAGACTGCGACCAAATTGGTCTCATATGCGACCATTTTTTTGAGAATTTGATTGTGCGAGTTAAAATTGTATGTGGTCGCGTCGCATACGAGTGGACGCTCGCGCAAAAGAACACCGACCGTTGTATCAGCTGCTGCAGACTGCAGTCCGTAACTTATGTTCAAATCGAACGAGTAGGCTACATCATGAACCCATTTTCCAAACCGTGTTTTTGACTTATCCTGAATCACTACGCCTGTTATAAGTGTTTATATTCGGACTATTTTTTTATCCCGGATTCCCGGGGTTGACTCGGATGCGAAGTTGCCCAGTGACTGCGTGACTCGCCATAGACATTAATGGAGAGAAGTAGCTCCGGCAACAGTGTTCTTCCGCAAGACACATAGACGTCACGCGCGCATTGCACACTGATGGTGGAACACGCCAATTACGAATTCATGAATAAAAATATAAAAATGAAAATGTCTCAGGAAACAAATTATTACAAAATGCAGGAGGAAGGAGTGTGAGATTTCTGATTTTTGAACTAACTTATAAAATTTGATAACGAAAAATCTGTTTTAGCTTGTTGTAATACTCTAATCTTTTAAAATGTAATGTACATTTGAATGTTTAATGATTTTTAAAAGATAGAAATATGATGCTAATAGAAAAATGACAGACACAGAAGATTATGATTCAAATGTAAATAGATAGATTGAATGTAATTCAAATGTAAAATTCTTAAAATTACAGATTAAAATTACTGTCCAAAATCCATGAAAATCCTGAAATTTGGCAATGATAATTAATATATTACAGGTATTTATGGTAAGCCTTTGCTGGCTTTGGTCCATTAAAACCACTATTCATCGGCATGCATTGATTAATCCCATGGCATGTAGCAAAAAAAATTAAAAATAACCGCGACGAAATCAAATGCTGATGCGACCAACTGAGAAAGTTGGTGGCATCAGTTTAACCTGGTTTCTGAGGGTACAGTTGTCTCTCGTGTTCTTGTGTTCTCCTATTTAAAAATAAATGTTTTTCATTTAAAACTTGCATCAGTATCATGGATCAAAATGTTAGTACACAAAACTGATGTAGCCTAAGGTTTAAAGGTATTTGAGCACAAGTAGGCCAAATGCATCAATTCAGGTGGTGAATGAAAGAACCAGTCATTACTATAATCTGATTTTATTATTTAAACACTGTTTATATTTGTTTATATTCAAATAATTAAAAAAATACATTTCATTCAAAATTGAATTTTCACTTTGCTAACCCGCATCGTACAATGCCATATAGGGGGCCCATTGACATTGAGAGTGTACAGGGCCCAGAATTTGGTGCTACGCCCCTGCTTGTTAGTGGTATTAACTAGCGCCCCGTATACTATCGTCAAACGCTAAATAGTTTTTAAAGACAAAACTCTTTACATTCGATTATCATGAAAACAAATCTCAGAGAACGGTTGACTAGGTACCGATGTTTTATTAGACCTAAGGTTCATTTTTCCTTTAAATTGACTTTGAAGCGTACTAAAGACCAGTAGACTATTCAACTCTATCGAAGATTGTTCAAAATGTAGTGTATTTTTAATAACCATAACCTCTCCCTGGCTGTAGTGCAGTAGCAATTTAGCTGGTTTGACCTATACAGAACATGCTGGTAAATGGACAGAGAGATTGAGATAGATAGGCTCCCTCTGAAAAAGGTTAAGACAGTACTCATGCCCTTTTAACATAGCTGAGATTTTCTATTATGAGTCTATTTACAGGCACTCTGCCGCAGGTCCGTTTCATCTGAATTACTGATTTGTTCATTTGTTTGCATGGCTGTGTGCAAGCCTTAGGCAAATAGTGTCTGCCACCTTTGATGAAGGTGTCCATCTCGCAGTAGGCACAGAAACGCGTGCAAAAAAGAGAGAATCTTTCAGTGGTACACACTTCCGTCTGTCCTGCTCCTTTTCTCCGAACCAATTTCTGTTTTTGTATTAGAATTGTCAGAGGTCTTTTCACTGGTCTTGCCCAGGTGCTAATGGAATCCGTGCGCGAGGTGATTCTAATTTCCATGCGGATTCCCTCGACTGCACTCCCGCCGTTGACTTTTTTGACTCTGTTGGATTGCTTTGGTCTCATCCGGCTGCATTGATTTCCCCACATGCCCCTACATGCACGTACACACATGATCGCTCACATATACGTACACACACACCTCTTTCCCTTCATGCGGGAGCTGGCATACTCGCTACATATTCGCTACACACAAAGGCTATTGTTGTAGCCCTACTTTTCTTTGGTGAGACTGTGTTTGTGTGCCAAGACAGAATTCTTCTTATTTTGCAGTAACAACTTGATCTTTACCATTCTCATAGCACTTACTCTTTAACGTCCCATATTTTTAGCCTATGATATACATATGCTGTGTTTTTAGATACTAAACAACACAGGTTGTCCAAGTTGGGCCACCAGGTGTCAGCAACGCAGCACTAAGCTGAAATCCCCAGTGACCCCCCTCCCCCCCACCCCTGTCGCTAAATGCCGGAGAGTATGTAGATCAATCATATTGCGTTAATGTAAAAGCAGCCCTGTGGTTGATGAATTCTGTGAGTCACTGTGGAATGTGCTAACTGTGCAGACTTTGACTTTTAACCATTCACGCAAGTCATTTGTGACTGCTGCAATCACATTTCCTTGGCCCTTCACTGTGTTAAGTGTCGGAAGGCTTTATGTTGACTTGGTTTGATAAAAAAAAAAAAAAAGAGTCCTGTTTTGGCGTGATTTAAAATTCGAATAAAAAATGAAGGAATGACTTACGATTGCATGAGGGTGGGATCTCTGGAGTGTTTATGCGGAGCAGAGAAATTTGCAGTGTTACGAATTTGAGGCAGTATTTTAAATACTGTTAATGAAATTGGGGACTATGAGGAATGCTCTATTCCCTCCCGCTTTTAATCAGTTGCAGAAGAGTTATATTGCAGTGTTTTTTTCTCACTCTCAATCACACTCACACACACACACAGTTCTTACCCAGCACCGTCAGTTTGGCTCTGTGTGATCGCAGCCCAGCCTGCGTGGCTTGACACTCGTAGACTGCATCATCGCCTAGCTCAGCTGAATCGATCACCAAGCTGTGCTCACCTGATAGCGGGTCTCCCACCAGAGAGTAACGTACCCAACCTGGTCCACACAAACAGCACTGTTAGAGATATGCACACACATAGGGCTACTACTTGCATTAGCATCTTTGTGTCACTTGGTCAGCGGCAACATGTGAGATGCCACGCTCATGCAGCTAGCATAGCACACGGAGATAGCCTTAAAGGTTCTCTAAGCGATGTGGGGCCAAAACATTTTTTGTCACATACATCAAACGTCTCCTCACTATCGGCTAGCTGCCTGTCCCCTAAACACACTGTAAAAAAACGCGGTCTCTGTAGACACCACAGGCTCCACAAACGGCAACAAAAACAATCATGTCTCACCCGGACCACGAAACCTAACAAACAGTGTTCCAGCCAATCACTGGCAAGAAGTATTTGAGGGTGGGTCTGGGGGGTTAGTGCGTGTGCACATGAAGGGGGGGTGTGTGTGTGAAGGAGATAGAAGCATCAGAGGGAAGTTTGAAAAATAGACGTCGTTCTGAAGAACAAATTAAAAAGAAGAAGGAGTCGGATAAAGAACGTGCGAAGTTCCGAATTTACATCGGTAGCGTTTGAACGATAGCGAGAACTCCGGCGGCAAAAGGGCTTCCAGTCCGACATTCAGGTTGCTCTGTTTTTACTGGACAGGTGGGTAACGTTTAATTGTTTTTTTTTTCTTCTAAATTGACGCTTTATGTTCGCCAAACCCACACAAGGATATAATTAGCTAGAAATGCACGTTCACAATTATTTCAGGAAGCACGGAAGGGAGGGGGAGGGGATGAGATGCGGCGGAGGGAGGGTCTAGCTAGCCTCCGATTTGTTTGAAAATATTCCGAACGTCAACAACACCCAGGATCGCTCAGAGAACCTTTAACTGTCCAGGTTGCTAATTTCAAAGCTGCTGGGGGAAATCATTTTAAATGTCAGTCCGTGACATGAGCTGTGATTGATTCTCCACCTCAGCCCGAGCAGACGGCTGAAATGATTAGACAAATTAAACGCTAGTTTGCATTAGCCGCAGTGTTTGTTTGCCTTCCCGTTTCTTCACTCAATGGAGCCTAGGAAGTAAGGCTGTGACGTTACTCAAACACACATTCACTGCAGAAGAGGGATGCTGCCCTTTACCTGCCAATCTATGATTAGTTTTATCTCCCAATTGTTAATTGGAAAGAAAAAGATGAAGATGAGAGGACACTAAGCCTTGGTAAATGGACTTCAATACGCATTGTGTACCTCCTGGGGGAACAGCATCATTTCTGCCTTGCTACTTGCTCTAAATTTGGTTGACATATCGGAAACTGGGTTTCTAGCTAATTACAAACCAGTGCACCATTTAGAAACACCTTGGAAATTAATTACGTCGACTTCCTTTTTTTTCCCTTTCAACTCAATTTTTAAAAGTGACTCGATGATGAAAAAAGCACTGTTAAATGGGATGACTGTTCGTTTTACCTGGTAGGTCTCGTTCGCCACCTAATGCCAGGCCATCTTTGGTCCACTGCACCATGCCCCGATATCCCACAATCACACAGGGCAAGGTTACTGATTGGCCAGCAACAACTACTTGGTCCTGGGGCTGCTGGGAGAAGTAGGCTGCTTGAGACACTGCAAAAGGAAAACAAATATACTTTGGTTGGTGTTTGATATTGTAAAATAAGTATAATAATGGACCATATTCCATTATCTTCTTTTTTACTTTAGAAAGCAACACCATACAGTAAATGAGAGTGCTGCCACCTAGTGGATCCTGCTGTTAATTAAATGTATATCACACATTGTAAAACTGAAGCATCCTTAAGACTTCAAATTCAATGACGGGCTTCAATCTATCACATAGGCATGCCCATAGAATTTATTCTCTTCCAGTCATATTGAGTTTTTCTTTAAATGCAGAAGTGGCACAAGGCTGGCTCTCTGAAATAGACCAGTAGCAAGTTGGATTACCATGGTAAACTACAGCAAGGCTCTCCCTCCTAATGCTGAAGCCTATCTGTCATTTTGCTCTAACCAGTTCGGCTTTCAGGTCAGTGATTTTGTACAGGGAGAGAGATGGGAAAGCACAGAACACATTAGTGCGATAGTATATTAGCGCTGAATCAGCAAGAGCCATTCCAGCTCGCATTCACCATCTCTCCGCAGCTGGTAATACTCTTCCAGTTACACAATGAAACACAATTTTCCTTGCAGTACCCATGCACTGGGCTCTAGGAACCTATTACTCTTTTACACTGATCTGAAATCATTTTGCCTACCCAACACACTCTCTTAATTGAAGTTTCACGACTGGTCACACACATTTTTTTTTTATTTTATCAAGGCAGTGAGTGGCATTTCGCTAACTGACTGATGCAGAAAAGGCTAATATTTCATCATCTTCCGGTTGGAAGAAAAAGGCACAGTCCATAACACATTTTACAACAGTTTGATATTCTGAACTTGGCAAGGGGTCTAGGCGTCAGCTGGTCATGACTTATTTAACTCTTTCCCATGCCCATATGGCAACCTGCATAGAACGACATGGAAAGCAATGCCCCGTTGAGCCAGAGAATCTGTTGTTACTTCTTCTCAGGGTGGGGGAAGTGCTGTTTTTTAGTAAAATTGTTGGTTAAACAATCAATGGAGCTTTCAGCGTCCCATGAGAGCCATCCGTCGTGGGCTGAGAAAGGCACCTGCCACCGCACTGCCTTCCCTCTATTTTGGCTTTGCTGCTGTCTTTCTTTCTCCTTTTTAAACACTTTTACTGTTTTTCCGGCTTGATTTGCATATCAAGATAAATGTGTCCCGACTAAACAACAAACATCCATCTCTCTCTCTCTCACTATTCCAATCACTTTTATATACACACATGGTCTTCTTACACACTTTCTGTGTTTCTCAATTGCAAGAGCTTTATGATTGGATCTGGTGCATCATGAGCCCTCTTGAAAGTAGAAAGATGGCAACCAGCCAGAAGTAACTAATCCATTCACATGAGATTTCAAAAAGGGCGAGGGAAGAAAGAGCCCAATTTGATGGAGGTTTTAGAAGGGGAGGGCTGTTACTGGTTCTTCAATAAGAAAGGGGCCGTCCCCCCATTTTTTCTGCCTTTCCTCCTCTTTCTTTGCCCTTTTATTTCAGTGTGGTTAAATAGGAGAATAGCGTGCCAGTGGTGGATAAAGAGGGGTCTATTCAGCTGGTGCTAAACCCCTCTGAAACTTCTCTCTTTGGGCCAGGGGTGTTTAAACAGACAGGGTAGGGGGCCTCACCCCAGGGGGGCCCGAAAGACGGTGAAAGGAGGGCAACATACGGTGGCCAGAAACACACTATTGTCCCCTTGTCCCTTGGTTTTAATAGGCCTCTTCATTTCCAATCAATCCTGCTAAATGCAAGTTTAATAGCTTTTCAATAGCGGCTTTCCCCCCCTGAGGGAGCCCAGGATTTTTTTTCTCCTCCATCCTCTCTCACTCTCTGTTGTTCTCACTCTCTCTCTCTCTCACTTCATCATTCTCACTGCATTTCTTTGAGCTGAAAAGGGGCTTCCGAGCTTGGCTGACGGAGTTTGGTCGAGACTCAATTATCCACTCCATCAAGGGGTGCAGCAAAGACCATCCACCCCCCCTAACCTCCTACACAACCCCACACCAATGTTCTCTCTCAGAAACATAAGCTTCCTTTCCTTCCAAGGCAAAGGCCAGTGCAGATTTCAGGTATTTTCAAACTTGCTTTTTTTTCTTTACTCCCTCTTGTGCTGACAGTCCTCTTTTCTTCACTTGAGGATGGACAGGGAAAGAAATACCAATACCATGGAAGTATGCTACCTCTACTTCCTTGTCTTTTTCTTGTACTGAACCAACCTTTTACTGGACAGACCCATTAAATAGTTAGGGGAAAATAAATATAAGGGGAAAACATGCATCATGCCTGACTCTGACTACCTGCAACACTAATATCACCCTGCATCCCACAAGTTCCCATTCCCATGGGAACTGTTACTGAGAGGAGGATACCAAATGCTCAGTCTTCCAAAGCTACCTAGTTTCTTACATCATGATTCAAATGCTTCTTCTTATACCTTTTTTCCATGTAGGATTGTGATTTTGTGATTATTATTTTCATGCTTCATACAGAATGTATATAAATACCCATAGTAATTAGTAAGTGGTAATTTATATTTGGAAACCCTGACCTATACTTGTCAAGAGCTAGATATGAGTAATTAATACACTAAATATGACTCTTTTGTCAAAAACAAAACTCTTCTTGACATTATCATCAGCTGCAGTATTTCTAAGCCAAGACTTTAAGTCTATTTTTCATATAGAATTGTTCTTTTTGTGTACACTTCTGCCATCCCTGGAGCACGATATTTATGAGATATTGAGTCTTTTTACAGATACTGTAATTGTGTTGTGCTTCTGGGATTCTCCTTTTTGCATCAGGTACTGGATGAACATCGATTGCAATTAAATAATCTTGCCCTAGCATCTAAATGTTTACGAGCGGTGATAATTCATCAGGATGAGCCGATGTTTAAGGGCTTTTGTATATTCAATAGTTCCTCTTTAGACCCCTTACTGAGTTGTGCCTCCGTGCATGTCTTTAATCACTCTATCACACACAAGACATTCACAGCTTGCATTCGGGCCCATTTACAAGTTATGCACCTGTATCAATGCACGCATTTGGCCTTATGAGCAAAACCAAAAGCATATTTCTTACCCTTGCAATGCATGTAGCCATTCGAACACACAAACCCACATATGTAACGAAATGAGTTCACACCACGGGAGTGATTCAGCGCTCTCCAAATCTTGCTCCAAGAGAAGCTCAACAAAATATCACGTCTGGTTAATGAGTCATTTCAAATTGGAATAATTCCTCCTTGCTGAATTAGCCAATTCTTTAACGGCATGTTAGCGGCTTAATTACATGAGTTCATTCCTGACATAGAAGAGAGGGATGAACGCAGGAAAAGACGAATAAAAAGGAGGAGGTGTTGAGATGAAGAGAAGCAATTGAACATTTTTATAGGTGGACCCTTTTGAGGATTTCTAACCTGGTCCTGCTTAGAATGCACTCGTGGAAAGAAGGAAAACCGATTAACAAAAGTTCAAAACAGGATAATAAAGATGGTACTCGCATGAGCAGGTCAGACAAAAGGCTTGATATTAACATGGCTTTCTGGTTCATGCAATGTCATTATAAGGTACCATGACAAATAAAGAGGTGCGTGGGATAAGACAGAGAAAGCCGCCTCTAAAACCTACGTTGTGATTTGCTCCACAGTGTGTGGCATCTGTGTGTGCCTGTGTGTTTACGCGTTCCCCCTTCCCCTAGTAACAAGGTCATAACACACTTGGCCTGATACACTTTAATCCGGATTTTTTTTTTGAAAATGGAATATCATTTCACGGCACTGGATGGAAGCAGAGAGGAGTGTGTGTTCATGTGGTGGCGTAAATAGGGCAGGCGTGTGGGGATTGTGGCTCACATTTAGTTGCTACTTTGACACAGTGACTTTGTCTTTTTTTGTCACACGTTAAGTGCAACTGCAGCTGTGCCTGACTTGAGCATGACATATTAAAGAGCTTTGCTTTTTTCTCTCACTCTCCCCTAGTTTCTCCAGGCTGTTTTTAGAGCCCAGGATGTGTCTGAGGCGAGAGCTATGCACTCTGCCTCACTGGGACGAACGGACGAACAGATGTTAGCAATGATCCCTCCCTGGTCTACACTCACTAGGGACAGCGGGGAGTCTTGATGGTATTAGCGAAAGTCTATGTGTGTGTGTGTGGCACTTGGTTTTTCGCCCCTGGCACAGTTGCAGATAAATCAGAATATTTATCCCATGTCAAGCCATATTTAGCCCTCCCTCAACCTCTTCACTGTTTGCTCTGACAACCCTGATTATAAAAAGTGAAGATGTTGCAGCGGGGGAATACAGCTCACATGGATTCATGATCATGCTAAAATCTAGATAGATAGATAGATAGATAGATAGATAGGTCAAACACCCTTACCGTAGCCTGCTCTTCAATTATCCTTATTTTGACAATGCGTATCCAACTCACATGGCACCCTTTAGCGTCAATATAACGCTTCGGTTATGGGTAGGTTTAGGTGTGGGGTAGGGTTAGGGTTAGACCACTAGGAGGTGCCTTCTGGCCCATATATATCTAGGTCTCATATTGACGCTAAAGGGTGCCATGTGCGTTGGATGTATACGCATTGTCAAAAGCGTCACTATAACACGCTTCGGTTATGGGTAGGTTTAGGTCTGAGTTAGGGTTAGACCAAGAGGAGGCGCCTTCTGGCCCATATATATCTGGGTTTCATATTGACGCTAAAGGGTGCCATGTGTGTTGGATGTATACGCATTGTCAAAAGCGTCACTATAACACGCTTCAGTTTTGGGTAGGTTTAGGTCTAAGGTAGGGTTGGGGTTAGACCACTAGGAGGCGCCTTCTGGCCCATATATATCTAGGTCTCATATTGACGCTAAAGGGTGCCATGTGCTTTGGATGTATACGCATTGTCAAAAGCGTCACTATAACACGCTTCGATTATGGGTAGGTTTAGGTCTGAGATAGGGTTAGGGTTAGACCACCAGGAGGCGCCTTCTAGCCCAT